ACCTTTCTGTTTTTCAAAGTATCCAAGCTCCACTTTCTCCGTTCTTCACCATCTCTTAACCAAACTCAGCAAGAGCTTTACTATGCTTCTGGCATATCTACAATTCAGTAATTAATGTTTCTGCAAGGGTAATTGATCCTCGGCGTGCCGAATATAGCTCCTTGCTCCTGTTCCTTAATAAACTTAATTCCGGGCTCGTTTTTCTCTAGAGCTGCGCTTTGCCCGGAACGGAGTGCTGCGCCAGGAGCCGTACTGCTTTGATATGCAGGCCCGGGATTTGACCATTCAATCGCCAAATGTAACGAATACGGCGACGGCGCACATCTGCCTGCACGTGGACACGAGCCAGCTGCACGAGAGCGACCAGGAGCGACCGCAGGCGCTGCCGTTGCGTGTGCGCCAGCAGCGCATCTTTGACAGCGCCGGCGAGCTGCTGCACACGGATTTGGCCGGCCGGCGACGGCTGAGCGTTGACTACGAGAAGGATGTGTTTGTGCATCGCGCGGCCGCCGCCTTTTATCGCGTGGCACACCCGGATAACTTTGTGGAGCTACTGCGAGCGCGCGGCTGGCGTTTTGCCCTCGCCGAGGATCGCAGCGGCGCCTTCGGACTGACCGAAACGGCGGGCATTGTCTATGTGCGCGATGCTCTGGCGCTGGAGCATGCACCGGAGACGGTCTACTTTCTGAACGTAACCTGGTTGGATGCGGAGAAGCAGCCGCATGCGTTTGTCATCAACGTGCACCTGGTGGAGGGCAGGCCGGCGAATGCTAATTGTGAGCTGCGTCTGAAGTCGCGCTCGCAGACCTGCGCCCAGGTCAAGTATCAGACGCAGTGCGTCAAGTTTTGTGGCCTGGCCACCAATGGCGGCGCGTGCGTCTGGCGTGGCACCAGCTCGGCCATGTTTGGGCGCAACTATGGCTCCTGTGTGCCGGACGCTCGCTACTGTCCGGATCATGTGTGCGATGCGCTGGAGGAGCTGAATCCGCATGCTTGTCCGCAGGATTGCACGCCCGCCGCCCGTATTGTGGGCCCGCACACCACCAATGATAATGGGCGTGGCATACTGAGCGGCTCCGGCACGTGCCTCTGCGAGGACAATGGCAAATGCAGCTGCGCTCCGCTGCCCGACGAGGACGAGGTAAAAACGCGACGCCAGCGCAAGCGCAAAAATGAAACGGAACCGGAGCTGGTCAGTGCCACGCCCGTGCAGGTGGTGCAGGGCAGCGAACAGCAGGATCCGGATCAAGATGCACTGGCGCTGGGCGTACTGCATTTGGCGGGCATGGAATGCAATCGCTCCTGCTTGTTGGTCGTCATCAGCTGCCCACTGCTCTTTGTGCTATTGCTTCTCTGCCTGCTGCTCTCGCAGCGCAAGCTCTGGCAGCGCAAGCTGGGCAAGCAGTCGGCCACGCCGGGCAACAAGCTGGCGCTGCCGCCCAACCTCGAGGCACTGGGCGGCGATGGGGATCTGCCGCTGATGCCGCTGCATAGCGGCTTCAAGTTCGAGAGCGCCGACGCCAAGTGGGAGTTTCCGCGCGAGCAACTGCAGCTGGACACGGTGCTGGGCGAGGGTGAGTTCGGTCAGGTGCTGAAGGGCTATGCCACACAGATAGCCGGGCTGCCCGGCGTCACCACCGTTGCCGTGAAGATGCTCAAGAAGGGCGCCAATTCGGTGGAGTACATGGCCCTGCTCTCGGAATTCCAGCTGCTGCAGGAGGTCTCCCATCCGAATGTGATCAAACTATTGGGCGCCTGCACGCAATCCTCGGAGGCACCGTTGCTTATTATAGAGTATGCCCGCTACGGATCGCTGCGAAGCTATCTGCGGCTCAGCCGGAAGATCGAGTGCGCCGGCGTCGATTTCAGCGACGGCGTCGAGCCTGTCAATGTCAAGATGATGCTGACCTTTGCCTGGCAAATATGCAAGGGCATGAACTATCTAACCGAACTGAAGGTGGGTAAACTTTTCGACATGACTGGGTTGGGGTATGCAGGTGGGAGTACATAGAGAACTGGGTAAGTTAAGGGGTTGAATGTAATAAGGGGTATGCATGGTAGGTTAAAAAAAAAGATTAAGCTCCTAGACATTGGGTAAGGGTAACCTAGGATTACCCAGACGACTAGTATACTCTGAGGTTAGTAAGCAGTGTGAAGGGAAAAGGTTGGTTGGGTAAGCTTCTAAGCATGATTCGCTTGGGTTAAGCAGGTGAGATTATCCAAAAGTCTGGTGGGAAGAAGGATTATTATGATTGGGTTAGCCTAAGTCGGGCGCACAAGTAAATTGTCCGTGTGTTGCGCCTGTGAGATTCGGCTAAGAAAAGAAAGATATTCCAATTAAGTTTCGCACATGGTCTGCGCCTTGGACATTTTTCCAAGCGGTTCACTAAAGGACTTCGAACAGTCCGGGTCATAGGAGCCTAGTCCATTGCGTCCAGAATGGGGTTGCTATTGATACTTTCCTGCTGATACTTCTCTTTTTTAGCTGGTGCATCGCGATTTGGCTGCACGCAATGTGCTACTCGCCGATGGCAAAATATGCAAGATCTCCGATTTTGGACTGACGCGCGACGTCTACGAGGATGATGCGTATTTGAAGCGCTCCAGAGATCGTGTGCCCGTCAAGGTGAGTCGCCCACAAGAGCTGTTTCACCATACATGCCTAATACATCTATATATCTTTCTCTTTTGCCAGTGGATGGCACCGGAATCTCTGGCGGATCATGTGTACACCAGCAAATCGGATGTCTGGGCATTTGGTGTGCTTTGCTGGGAGCTAATTACATTAGGCGCCTCTCCATATCCCGGCATAGCGCCACAGAATCTCTGGTCCCTGCTCAAAACTGGCTATCGCATGGAACGTCCAGAGAACTGCTCCGAGGCTGTTTACTCCGTGGTGCGCACCTGTTGGGCTGATGAGCCGAATGCGCGACCCTCATTCAAATACCTTGCGGCGGAGTTTGAGAAGCTGCTGGGCAACAACGCCAAGTACATTGAGCTGGAGACGAATGCCGTATCCAATCCGATCTACTGCAGCGATGAGGCGGCGCTCATGCCCAGCCAGGAGGTCGTTGAGCAGCTGGGCGAGCCGGAGTCACTGCAGCATCTGTGGTCGCCGCCAAAGATAAACAGCTACGAGCAGGATCTGGCCAATAGTCGCGAGGAGTCTGTAACAGAATTTCCGACGGCAGCGACGTCAGCAGTTGCCCCACCCGGCTACGATCTGCCGCGTCCATTGATCGAGGCCCGCACCACGGAGCAGGTTCTGCGTTATGAGAACGATTTGCGCTTTCCGCTCAACATACGCAAATCGAGCTGTGCGCCCAGCTACAGCAACATGGCCAATGGCTGTGCCACAGCCCTGCCCGAGTATGCGGTGCCCGTGAAGCGTGGCCGCTCCTACATGGACATGACCAACAACACACTAATACCCGATAATCTCGATAATCGCGATTTTGAGAAGCATCTCTCCAAGACCATCTCATTTCGTTTCTCTAGCTTGCTTAATCTCAAGGAGCCCGAAACGCCCCAGCCACACGCCGAGGATGCCGTTTAAAGGTAGTCCTCAATTGAATCACTTTTTTCCCCAAAATTCATACACCATATTTTCTAATAGCGCCTGGTTTTTTAGTTCAAATTGTTTGTTAATTAGTTTTAATCCTATGTCTATCATAATTAGCTTTATAATGTTGCCAAAATTAACTCGAATACTCTGTTTACAGTGTGAAGCTTATGAGATTCTAAAATCGAATCTAGCCAAAAAGCTATAAATAATCCTTGCTATAATTTCATTCATCTTTAATGTGTTTTTTATATATTAAAAAAAAAAAAATTCCACAATTTCTCCAAAACCCATTTTCATAAATTTTTTATAGGGATTTAATTTTGTCAACGGATCAATTCCCGTAGCATCCAATAATTTTAGTGTACTCGGAAAATTACCAACAAATTTCCATTATTTATTTTTTACTAAATATTTTTCAAATTTTAGAAGAGTTTTGTTGCAGGCCTTAACATTCCAATACTATTTAACTTTATCTTTAACTTTCATCATTTTACAACACTGTTCCCTCTCCAATATATTCACACGCATGTTTCCCAATCGAAATATTTATGAACTTAAACTCTCCTAAGCTTTTGCCATATTTTTTTTAAGAGCTCTAGTTGCCTTTTGGACGAAAATTGGAAATTGAATCGCTAGTCTTAAGCTTTAAAGTAATAAAATAAAATAATGTATGTATATTTTATTAATATTAATTGCCTATAAAAGTATACGCTTCTTGTCGCAAATACACAAAAAGATCATGATTTTAGCTTTAAGCAAAGGAAATCAGAACATTTGCGTTGTGCAATTTCTAAAATACTTATTTTTGAAATTTTTTGAAAGTCACGATCATACCAAATATTAATAATTATTCAAAAGAACCTTTCAAATTTGCTTAAGATTTGCGCACAATAAACAATTTTAACGCCAAGTATTTCTAGCACCGTGCTTCAAGTTAGGCACTTGCTTATATATATACTATATATAAAGCATACAAAGATAAATTAGCCATAAGAAATTTGACCATTTGTACTTATTGATGTATATGCCAAAAACTAGACTGTATATAATATATTTATATAAATTTGTATGCCATTTCTATCTAATAATATCCAATATAAATATATATATAAATTTAAAAATTTGTCCTAATCTGTTAGAAATACGAAGCTGATCCAGTTTAGATCAAGAGTTAAGAGTACCACGAGAATTTCACATAGGTGAACTTTATCGTCGGACACACAAGCGGGACATCGCCGGTTCAAATCTAGCAGCAATTTGTATATATATATTTTTTTTATATTACATTTGTTAATAGTTAAATGTGGGCGAATGTATAGACGCATGGTGGGAATTCGAAAAATGGCTCAGTTTTTAACCCGGACGATGCCGGGTAATTTCATTTAGTATGTGTATATATATATTTAAAATACAAGAAAGTAGACGAACCCCATGTCTATTCCTCCTCGGGCACCAGCAAATTTAGACTCGCCGCGCTTGCCACGCTGCCCAGAAAGGTTTCCTCATCGCCGCGCACCGATAGCGCCTCCCGGCCAGTGCAAACCTTGCGCTCGCGTATCATGGCAGTGCGCTCCCAGCGTGAACCCTTGCAGCTGCTGCAGCTATGCTTGGGCAGTTTAAAAACGGTGGTAGTGCGATTACCGCAATCCTTGCACTGAAAGAAACGCTTTTGTGCATCGACCACTTTGAGTGGATGCTTCTCCTCTTTGCAACGCTCGGCGGCCGCAAATGCGGTGTATTTGCAGCGCTGGCAGATGACTGCCTTGCAGGGCATTTTATATGTGCTTAGCATTTTCTCCTCCATGGCCTCTTTGCGCTCCAGCTTGTCGAAGTAGTCGCTTTGGGCCTCCCGTTCGCGCAGCTCGACTAGATTTGTGTGCGACGAAGTGGCGGCCATGATGCGTTCTATGCGAGATTTACGCATTATTTCGCGTTCCTCCTCCTCCAGTTTTTGACGCTTCCCACTGGTGGAGAACTTGTCGTGCAGCTCATCGATGGCACGCCGTTTGCCCGTTGCGGTGCCGCGCGTTGAATTCGGATTGACCTTCTCCAACGGCTTCTTCTTGAGCAGCGCAGCTGCTTTCAGTTTTGCGCTCTGCGCCTGGCGGGCTCCAATGTTTACCTCGAAGCTGAAATTCTCGCTGCCGGCGAGCTTGGGCGTTAGGCTGGCATCGAAGGAGAAGCCGCGATTCTTAAACTTCTCCGGCACGCTTTGTGGTGTCGTGGGCGTGGCAGCTTCCTTCGTCGTGGGCGTTGTGGGTGTTGCAGGCGTGGCTTGAGACATTGCCGGTGCCTGTTCAAAACGATCACTTTCTGCTCGCAGTTGGCGCAGACGCTCTAGATCCTTATAGCGCTGCTTGCTGGTGGCCTCCACAATGCCTGCCAGGCGAGAAACGGGCCCGCCGCGCTCCGCATAAGGCACATCTACGGGCAGGCAGCTTCTCGGCTTTGATTCGTGATCAACGCTGTGCGAAAAGGGCGACACATCGTAGCCGGCCAGCTTGCTGAGACGCTCGCGCTCCTTGTTGATTAGCTTGGCGCTCTTGCGTGCTGGCACCGCTGAGAAACTCTGTCCACCATAGAAAACCTCGCTCTTGCCTGCAAAAATACATATGAATAAGGGCTAAAAAAAAAATGCATATATATCAACTCACCCAACACCTTGTTGCGTAGCTCGTTTAGACCGCGTCCGGTAGTGGCCGATTGCAGCTCGGACCGCCTGGACATTTTGCCAAACTCCTGCTTCACATGGAACACACAGTAATCGCAGTCGGTTAGATTCACCAAGGATGTGCACTTGTCGCCATTCTTTTTGGTTGCCCGGCATGTGCCCAAATCCTTGGACTGGCCCAGTATCATCACCTTCTGTGAGGTATCAATGGACAGGCAGGCGACATCGTTGCTGCCCGCACGCTTCTCAAAGATCGTTGGATTTAGGACGGCCAGACACATGCCCTCTGCGGTTTTCCACAGCGCTTTGTGCGCCTCTTTGAAGAGGAAAATGGAGGCTGTTTTCATTTCACCGCGCAGATCTGATAGACGCCACGTGGAGTAGGGATCACCTTTTTTAGTATTGCGCACCGGCTGCTTGGACACCAAGGCGCCGGCAATGACCCAATCCTTGGACAAATCGCCGCGTTCTATGTGAAATGCTAGACCCGAAAAAGGCACCGACTTGCGGCCGTCCATGCGCTCCTGCAACAAGGTGCTGGATATCAACGGATTGATCATGCGCAGCCCAAACACGGGATCTGTATAAATAGCCGAGATCGTAGTCTTTTGTAGGGATTGGCCCGAGGTTGCGGCTGCCGCTGCTGCCTGCGGTGGTCTTTGGAAAGAGTTGCTCGCTAGCGCCTTACGCTGGATGGGATTGTGCGGGTTTTTAAGACGCAGAGCCTCCGGCTGTGCCGTTGAATCGACCAGTTTTACACCTGCTCTCAACGACTGATCCACCTCGCGAGCCACTTTGCTCTCATGTGCACTTTCACGTTGCTGTTTGAGTTTTTTATTGATATCACTGCCATATTCATTATACTTGCGCTCCAAGAAGTTCTTGACCTCTTCGTCGTCAGATGAATCGAGTTCCGGCTCATTGGATTTGAGTTTTGGCTGTGCTTTTGTCTGTGTTGGCTTCACGGTCACCTCATAGCTGAAGGCGTCTGCGAAGCTACTGTCTTCGCGTAATCGGGGCACTGCAGTGGCCAAAGTGGGTGGCGGCGGTGCCGGTGCTGACTTTGCATTCTCCGCATTATCGTTTTCAGCTTCGCCCAGCAGTTTTTCAAGTGCCAGTATTTCTGCTTCATCGTCTATGCTTATATCTGACTGTGATACATTTGCAGGACCCATTGTCTTTGTTTAATTTAAAAACACTTACTAGATTTCACAACGTAACCGAATTAGCGCGCATCCGAAACACTTTTGGCGGGCCCAGCTGGTATGTATTGAGTAATGTTGTATGCCGTGCATTTGCCAACACTAACGATACAGCTGCTTCAATTTATCGTTTAACATATTTGCAGCAACGCTGACATTAATACTCATCCAGTGCTGTGTAATCGCAACTCACTCGTGTTCATTCATTTGGTTCAGTTTTGATGAGCGAACTAGATTGCATGAAACGCAGAAATAATACATTTGGTAGTGCTTAGGCTCACAAATAAATACGCTTGTCGAACATCCCATTTAATATATATACGAATCGCTTAGACAAAGAGTCTACATGTATACATCAACCTACAATAAGCGACAGGGAAATGAGCATTAATAATGAACACTTCCAAATTATTCAATTGAGCCAATGGTTCTTTTTCGCTCATGCACAACCCAACACTAATTTCTTCGTCAATATGTCATCTTTCGGCTTTTATTCACGAAAAGTTTAGTTGCAGAGCCCCGTAATATTTAAATTTTAATGCTCTGGACAGTGCTAAATCGTAGCCAGCCGCCTGTCTAATAAACGAGAACAACACGGAACATCAAATAGACACCCACGCGCCTGCTGCAGCGGCTCTCGTAAGGCCCTGAAAATTGTCAAATATTTGCGGTTTGGTCGGAGACGGACGCGGTGCCGTTTTGCCCAAAAAAGAAAAAAAAAAGAAGAGTGCAAAAATCAAAGCTAACCGGGATTCCGCACCCAACAGAAACGTGTATTTAGTGTGTAAGAATAAAGTTTTCTGCCTTAACTACAGGCCAACAGCTCCGCCCGGCAATTAGTAAGCAGGTAAGAAATTCAACATCAACCAGCGCCTCCCACTAACCGCGCATCACACGCTCTTTTTTTTGCATTCTTTTTTTTTTGCGTGAGCAAATGCGTGTTTTTGACCGACATTTGTATGCGCTTGCAAATCGCATGACATAAAAATAATTGTGGTCGTTTTGTGGTTATAAGCTTGGTTCAATACCATTTCCCACGTGCGTGTCCTCAATGCGCATCTCAAATTGCTTTTTGTTGTTGTTTTTGCTGCTTGTTGATAGCCTTTGACTTGGACTTGGGTGTTTGTGTTACTGTTGTTCTTCTTATCGCAATGCAACTTTGCCTAAGCGCATGCTGTGGCGAAACGGGCACACAGATAATTGATCCGAAATTGTTTTAAAAATGCAAAACACAGAGTTGCCACACAAAGACAATAACAACTGTAAGAAATACTGCCTGTTTACCGTTGCCTTTGCACATTTTGTTTTACGCATTTTCGCATTCCACGGCATTTGCATTACCAGCGCGTGTTTTGAGTTTTCATTCGCCTGTCACCTCTTTAGCTCCGTTCTCCTTGCACATATAAACACACACACACACACACACATACATCACCCGCTCTCTCATGCTCTTTCTGCATGTCATCTGTCGCGGTCAGTAGCCGGTCCCGGTCCCGGCCCCACACACTGAGATGCAAAAAAAAATAAGTGGACCAGTGCGCATTAAAAAAAAAAAAAAAGTACGAAATCCGTTTTTTTTCGCCGACTCGCATATATTTACGTCAAATCCCCCCGCACCCTCAGCTTACGCTCATAGCACTGGTAAAGAAAAATATGCTCAACTTATTTGGAAGGCGTCGCCTCTTGACCTTTTTTCACGTCGCCTCCCCTCACGTCGCAACAGACGTTGCGTTGTTTATTGCAATTGATAAGGCCTTAAATTCAATTTCGACCTTGTTGCACATGCTTTAGTTACACAGCCAGACATGAGCAGTTACAAATATTGGCATATAAATAGGCTTAAAGATCTGGCGCAAATTGCTAGTTGCAGTTGGATGCTTTAGAGAATTGCATGACATTTATTATTAACGGCAGCTGTTAATCACGCCATCTCTCTCTCTCTCTTTCTCACTCCTGCCGGGCAGTGCTGCAACGATAAAGATATGAGTACAACTATATTTCTAACGACAGCGGAGAATGGACTGCGACATGATAAAATTGTTATACTCGATGCTGGTGCACAGTATGGCAAGGTAAGTAATCGATATCGCACACAGCTATCAATATCGATAATAATCGTTTTTAATTATTTGCGCAGGTCATCGATCGCAAGGTGCGCGAACTTTTGGTCGAATCGGACATTCTGCCATTGGATACGCCAGCGTCGACGATACGCGATAATGGCTATCGGGGCATCATCATCTCCGGTGGACCCAATTCAGTTTATGCTGAAGATGCGCCCACGTATGATCCCGATCTGTTTAAACTGAAAATCCCTATGCTGGGCATCTGCTATGGCATGCAGTTAATCAACAAAGAGTTCGGCGGCACCGTGCTCAAGACGGACGTGCGCGAGGATGGCCAGCAGAACATTGAGATTGAAACATCGTGCCCGTTGTTTAGGTAAGTCTAAGAGAATCCTTATTTATTTCCAGCAGCAAAAAGAAAGCGTTCAAATTGCAAGCTCATTTGAGCGCCGATACAATGCTGCCAGAGCAAAACTAAGCCAGGAGCAGTTCAGTTTAGCGTAGTCTATAAACTGATCTACACATGGCCTCACATTTTATAAATCATTTAACATGTTCACTTCAATTATTAAACGTGTTTAATCTCTTGCAGTCGCCTTAGTCGCACACAGTCCGTGCTGCTCACCCATGGCGATAGCGTGGAGCGCGTGGGCGAGAAACTTAAAGTCGGTGGCTGGTCAACGAATCGCATTGTGACTGCCATTTATAACGAGATCTTGCGAATCTATGGCGTACAATTTCATCCAGAAGTCGATCTAACCATCAATGGCAAACAAATGCTATCAAACTTTTTGTACGAAATATGCGAGCTAACGCCAAACTTTACCATGGGCAGTCGGAAAGAGGAATGCATACGCTATATACGCGAAAAAGTGGGCAATAATAAAGTCTTGGTATGTCTCTAAATTTCGTAGATATTTTTTTAAAAGAAAACTATACCAAAGTGTTTAACTCTTTGCAGTTGCTGGTCAGCGGCGGCGTTGATTCGAGTGTGTGTGCCGCATTACTGCGACGTGCGCTGCATCCAAGCCAAATCATAGCAGTACATGTGGATAATGGTAATGTTAGCACCGGAGGATCCTAAAGCCTTTAGCTGTTTAACTAAATTGGTTCTCACCTCGCAGGTTTCATGCGCAAGAACGAAAGCGAAAAGGTGGAGCGTTCGTTGCGAGATATTGGCATTGATTTGATAGTGCGTAAGGAAGGCTACACGTTCCTCAAGGGCACCACGCAAGTGAAGCGACCCGGCCAGTATTCTGTTGTTGAAACGCCCATGCTATGTCAAACCTATAATCCGGAAGAGAAGCGTAAAATCATTGGTGATATATTTGTAAAAGTGACCAACGATGTGGTCGCTGAATTGAAACTAAAACCCGAGGAGGTACTGCTGGCGCAGGGCACACTGCGACCCGATCTGATTGAATCCGCGTCCAATATGGTCAGCACGAATGCCGAAACAATCAAGACGCATCACAATGACACGGATCTGATTCGGTAGTGCGCTAGCATATTCAAGATATTATTATATTTTAGTTTGTTTTATTTTGGTATGCCTTGTGAAAAATATTAGAAATTCATATGTATATCGGAAGCAGTTCATATATGGAACATATAACTGGAGCCAAACATTTTAAAGATATTGACCCTACAACAAGTTGTAGGCAAGTGCTGGCACTGCGTGTGCCAAAGGATACAATTATATTTTGTGTTAATCTTACCCTACGATAAATACCAAAAATTTCGTATCAACTTTCTCTAAATGTATGTAAAACCGTTTTTGCAGGGAGCTGCGTAATGCTGGACGTGTCGTAGAACCATTATGTGACTTTCACAAGGACGAGGTGCGTGATCTAGGCAATGATCTGGGCCTGCCAGCGGAATTGGTCGAACGACAGCCCTTTCCCGGACCTGGACTAGCCATACGCGTGCTATGCGCGGAGGAAGCCTATATGGAAAAGGATTACTCAGAGACACAGGCATGAAACATTCAAAGACCATCCAAATACCGACTAATCCTCGTTTTTCTACATTCACAGGTCATCGTGCGCGTTATTGTGGACTACAAGAATAAACTGCAAAAGAACCATGCGCTTATTAATCGTGTGACGGGCGCCACCAGTGAAATTGAGCAAAAGGAACTGCTGCGCATCTCTGCCAATTCGGATATACAGGCAACATTGTTGCCGGTACGATCGGTGGGTGTGCAGGGTGATAAGCGCACCTATAGCTATGTGGTGGGCTTGTCAACGACGAGCCCGGAGCCTAACTGGCAGGATATGTTGTTTTTGGCCAAAATAATACCGCGCATATTGCATAATGTTAACCGAGTCTGTTATATCTTTGGCGAGCCCGTGCAGTATCTAATTACGGATATAACGCACACAACGCTCAATACTGTGGTGCTGGCACAGCTCCGGCAAGCGGATGCCATAGCCAATGAGGTGAGCACAAAAATAAAGCAAGTTAATTGTGATTATAATTATATTTCTTATCAATTAGATTATTATGCAAGCGGGTCTGTATCGGAAAATCTCACAAATGCCCGTAGTTCTTATACCCGTACACTTTGATCGTGATCCCATTAATCGTACGCCCTCCTGCAGAAGATCTGTGGTTTTGCGTCCATTTATAACGAACGATTTTATGACTGGTGTGCCAGCTGTGCCTGGCTCTGCTCAACTGCCATTGCAAGTGGGTCAACAAGAGGCTGCTTATAAATGTATTAACAATTGCTAATTGTCTTGTTTACTTATCACAGGTTCTAAATCAAATAGTGCGCGATATATCGAAACTGGATGGAATCTCGAGGGTGCTGTACGACTTGACAGCCAAGCCGCCCGGTACCACCGAGTGGGAATGATGCGTTCGAAACCAAAACCTTTAACAGCCATTTCAATAGCAATAGAGATATGTAGAAACAATAAACTACTACTGCATGGTAATTAACAAAGAGACGCATGAGACAATAGCAGAGATGCCGCCTGCTGCTCATCCAAAAATCCTGGGACAGCTAACAGCTATTAAGCAAAACTGAGAGCAACTGAGAGAAACGTGAGAGAGAGAGAGGAGAGATAGGAGAGCGTAAATACAATTTAGAGTGCCGCTTTAACAAAACAAAACAAAACAAAACAAAAAAACAAACACCACAACCAACAACAAAATATTAACAAAAACAATTCAGGTTTATAATATCGATTATTGTGTGTAATTAAAAGTAACGCGAAACGATGTTAAACAAACAAGAAATTAACACCAGATGGCAACAAATAATATATATTATTGCTGTATATTGAAATATTAACATGTTTAACCAGCATGTGCGATTTGTTCCTTTTATGAAAAGGAGATTACAAAACACATAAGATACATAAGTAACAAAAACAATTTATTTACGCATTTTTTAGTTATATACATAATTATACATATATATACATATATATATATGCATATATATACACACACATAAATGTTATATATATATACATGTATATATACAGATATTAAATTAATGCAAAACCATGTTCTGAACGTTGTATATTTGCATGGAAAGTGTTTTCGAGGAAATCGTGTTTGCAAAACAGAAAATTGTAAGAAGTACGAAATATATAAAAAAAAAGAAAAACAAAACAAAAGAAAAACTATTGTAAGCTAAAATTATGAATTGTTATATAAAAACGTTTTACTATTTAAATGGCAAAAACCACAGCAAAACAAATTATTATGATTAAAAAAAAAAAAAAAACAAACAAAATAAAAAACTAAAAAGAAATGTAATAAAATCGAAAAGGCTATATGTAAATATATTCTCGAATTTTATGAAGCTACAAATGCTCATTGTTCAAATTTTCAGTTTCCGCCCGGTTGCTCTTCCCTACGGCAGCCGATGAAAAGCCTCCGATGTTAGGCTCATAGTGCCGCGTCGTCTATTCCTCAGGTGCTCCAACGTTTGCAGCTTTTCTCCAAAGAATGTGCGGCTTTTGCTCTTACTGCGACCCAAACGCATGCACTTGGCTGCGAGGCTCTCCCCGTGCACGCTTTCCGCTTCAGACTCGGCGGGCTAAAGGCATTGTAAGTGAGAATTATTGTAGTACAAATATTAGAATATATTTAATTAAAAGTTTTAATGCAATTCTAGTTTGGCGAGTTGTCTAGATGATCAGCAGTTTAATTAACGAGGATCCAACTTCTAATCTAAGGCTAGTACTATTTTTAAAATATAAGTCTATAAATAAATACAATATTGATTTTATTGTAGGAGCTATAGCAGTCCGATGTTGATAACCTTTATATATAAGGATCATTAGGATTAACATACAGAGGTTATCTGGAACTGTCCGCTGCTGATAGGATTTGAACTATCTACTTTAAGCATGGTATAACTGTGGAGCTCGATGAGCACAACTTTTAAAATCTATAGGATGGGGAGCTGTAACGTTAAGAGGAAGGAGTCTTATATTATCTAGTGTCTTGAAGGAAAGCTTGGAAAGAATATATCTTTGTGACCGATCGTTCATATGGCAGCCATATATACTGGAGATTCCGCTGACTTCAACATATGTAACTGAAAAAATATAATTCCAAGCCATGACAAGAACATGACCAGTTTGCTGTTGATATTCATCAAGAATACTTTCGGTTGTTATTTCTTCGACTTCTCAGGAAAATGTAACATCCCAACTCTAGTCTTAGCTATTCCCAAATGCCTTTACTTACAGCTTGAACCACTTTCTTGACTGGCTTTTTGCGGTCGAACATGTGTTTGATCAAAAACTGAAATCGATCCGAATAGAGCAACTTTCGTGGCAGCTCATCGACTTTATTATAAAATTGGGCCCCCTGTCGACGCACTTGATTCAACTGGACCTTGTAGCGCCATTTAACAATGAGCTGCTTCCATCTCTCCGGCGTTGGCACAGGATGTGCAGTGGTGATCATTTCCTCAGCGATCTGTTGCCAGATCTGTGCCTTTAGATCGTAATTGAAGAAGTCCTTGTGATTCTCCATCCAGAGACACTCGTTCTTCCTGTACAAATCGATCAGCTTGAAATAGAGACGCCATTTGCGTTTGGTGCGCGGCGTGGCGAAGGTTAAGTTTGTTGCGGATGTGAAACTATTTGAGCTCTGCGCCTCGTCGGCCATAATGTAGTCGGACTGTAAATTTGGACAATTGCTAATATATATAGCATTTAAATCTATAGAAACAGTTGACAGTTCAAAGTTTTATTCGTTAATATATATTGCTAGGTGTTTGTTTTTCTTGTTAAGTTTTATAATTGATACAATTAATTTAAACACATGTTAATGAGTGGGTGCATTTGGGGTGCAGGAAATGGGTAAGCACATGTCCGGGTTGGATGTTGTGGTCACTTATTGTCCGCTTCAAAAATCAAAAATCTTTCGCGTTTTGTTTTTCATACATATTACAATAAATTTTATTCGCATTCGCAGCAAACAAATTAGCAAAAAACAAAGTTCAACTAAATTTAATAATTTATGTATGTATAATTGTATATATATATATATAAAACTGTTTCACAATGTCTCTATGTTTCGATTACATAACTTTTACTATTAGCACTTTCGACACTGAATAAAAATTTAAAAGAAACTCGCCAGAAAAAAACTAAATAGGTATATTGAAAAAAAAAAACAATACCATAATTTGATTGCTTGCGTTTCATGTCGGGCGTATATAAGTATCTATATGTATGTGTTCGTGTCTTGAGTGTGTGTATGTGTGCTGTGTGTATGTGCGGGAGGCGACTCGAGAGGGGGGTCAATAACTTATTGGGCCAACTCCTTCATGCGATTGAGAGCGCTGCCCGCCTTAAACCAGCCAATCTGCAGATCGTTGAGCGTATGGTTTAGCTTAATCCTCTCCACCTTGTCGCCATTCTTGATCTCGCAATCGACGGGCTTGCCGGGCGCCAAGCTGCTCAGATTCAGCAGCGAAATCTTGCTCGTGGGTTGGATCTAGGAATAAATGTATATATCAAATATAATTTTAATGAATTATAGAGCCCCGAGCCCTCTAATTCGTATATTTCAGGACTTACCTTGTCGTAGTCGGCGGCATTGGCAAAGGTCAGTGGCAGGAGACCCTGTTTCTTGAGGTTAGTCTCGTGGATGCGCGCAAACGACTTCACAATAATGGCGCGTCCACCCAAGTGACGTGGCTCGAGGGCGGCATGCTCGCGGGAAGAGCCCTCACCGTAGTTATCATCACCGATGGCCACCCACCTAATGTTGTTGGCCTTGTAGTCGCGTGCGACCTCGGGAACATTGCCCCACTTGCCGGTGCGCTGGTTCTTGATCTTGTTCATCTCATTGTTCTCAATGTTGGTGGCGCCAATGAACAAGTTGTTGGAGATGTTATCCAAATGGCCACGATACTTGAGCCAGGGGCCGGCGGCAGAGATGTGATCCGTGGTGCACTTGCCCTTGACCTTGATCAGAACGGTCATGTCGGTCAGATCCTGGCCGCTCCACTTGTCGAAGGGATCCAGCAGCTGCAGGCGCTGCGACTTGGGATCAACAGCAATAGCGACGCTATCGCCGACCTGTTTATGAGGAACACTCTAATTAGATACAAGGAATCTAAAGATTAGTTTGAACTTACAGGTGGTGGCGCGGTGTAGGTGTCCTGGCCGGGATCGAAGCCCTTGGAGGGCAGCTCATCACCGAACGGTGCCTTCAGCTTGAACTTCTTGCCATCGGCGCCAGTGAGCTCATCCTTCAACGGATTGAAATCCAAGCGACCGGCAATGGACAACGCGGTGACCATCTCGGGGCTAGTCACAAAACAATGTGTCGCCGGATTAGCATCGTTGCGACCGGTAAAGTTACGATTGTACGAGGTGACAATGGTGTTCTTGTCGCCCTTCTTCACATCCTGGCGATCCCATTGGCCGATGCAGGGACCACAGGCATTGGCCAGCACAGTGCCACCGAACTTGTCGAACACCTCGGAGAAGCCATCGCGTTCAATGGTGGCACGAATCTGCTCTGATCCGGGCGTCACATTGAAAGGTATTTTCGACTTGAGGCCATGGCTCATGGCATCCTTGGCAATGCTGGCACAGCGACCCATGTCCTCGTACGAGGAGTTCGTGCATGAGCCAATCAGGCCGACCTTGATGTCCATGGGATAGCCGTTCTTCTTGGAGTTCTCGCCCAGCTTGCTAATGGGATGAGCCAGATCTGGCGTGAATGGACCATTCACATGCGGTTCCAGTGTATCCAGGTTGATCTCAATCAGTTCATCGTACTCGCAGTTCTTGTCGGCGGTCAACACCTTGGCCTGATACTTTTTGGCCTCATCGGCAATGCCGCTGCGGCCGGTCGACTTCAGATAGTCGGCCATGCGCTGATTGAAGGGGAACAACGAGGTGGTGGCACCAATCTCAGCACCCATGTTGCAAATGGTGGCCATGCCTGTGCAGGAGATGGAGTCAACGCCCGCGCCATGGTACTCAATGATGGCGCCAGTGCCGCCCTTGACAGTCAGAATATCGGCAACCTTCAGAATAACATCCTTGGGCGAGGTCCAGCCGGAAATTTTGCCCGTCAAATTGACACCAATCACCTTGGGGCACTTCAGCTCCCAGGGTATATCGGCCATGACATCGACAGCATCAGCACCGCCGACACCAATGCACAGACCACCAAGACCGCCGCCATTGGGCGTGTGCGAGTCCGTGCCGATCATCAGCAGACCGGGGAAGGCGTAGTTCTCCAAGATGATCTGATGGATGATGCCGCTGCCTGGCTTCCAGAAGCCGAGGCCATATTTGGCGCAGGTCGTTGCCAGGAAGTCATAAACCTCACGATTCAGATCCTTGGCGCGGGCCAAATCCTTGACACCACCGATTTGCGCCTCAATCAAGTGATCGCAGTGCACGGTCGAGGGCACCGCAACCTTCTTCAGGCCGGAGGAGATGAACTGCAGCAGGGCCATCTGAGCGGTGGCATCCTGCATGGCGACACGATCGGGACGCAGACGCAGATACGATGTGCCGCGCTCAATATCCTGATTCGCTGGATCATCCAAATGCGAATAGAGCACCTTCTCGGACAAGGTCAGCGGGCGATTCAGACGACTGCGCACCACATCCAGGCGCTTGGTCAGCTTATCGTAGGGCAGATAGACGTCCGAGTCGAATTTCGACAGTGCCACCTTGGAGGCGGTATAGCAGGAAGCATGAAATTGACGGGCCATGGGATCCACAACATGTTTGCCCAGTTTGCACACCTGTGTATACCCAAATTAGACAAGAGATTGGCCAATTAGCACGTTTCAATATAATTAGAATATAGGTAATAGGTGGCTGGAAAATAGTTTCACATTTCTAATCTGTAACTAAACCTCCAACAAAATAATATTTTAAGTTGTGAGTTGCGCGTTTTCTAACTTTAAAATGTTAATAACAGTTACATGTTAAGGCATTAACATGTATAGGTATGTTAACATAAGTGTTCAAATTATAATTAACAGCTTTACGCACGCGAAGATCTTTTAGATCTTTGTCTCTGCTGCTAACAGTCAAACGTTATGTTGTTTTACATTGACAACATTAACAGAAACGTCAGGACTACTTATCAGAGTGTGCTTGGTTCAATATTTATGTGTTACAAACAGTTGTATGTTATGGTATTTACATTGACAAATATGTTAACAAGACTGTTATTACCAATAAACAGATAATAACAGTTTAGTAAACATTTATACAACTCAATTCAAGCGCTGTGAAACGCATAAACAATTAATCGTAAAACACAAGTTTAGTAATTTGTTTGCCCATCGCTAATGCTATGCGTAAACCTTGTGATTCGCATAGAGGCACACAATAAATAATAGTTGATTAACATATCAGGGGCACTTATATTATTAATTAACTTGATTGACCAGCTGTATGAACAGATTACCGATAAGATAGCTAATGGCAACGGGCTTCTCATTTGATCCAATGAAAGTATCTATATAATATATAATATACAGTAAAAGCTCTCATAACAAACGGCGCATCTCGTTACCAAAAGAAAACAAACAAAAAATGTGTAAAAATAACTTATTTCTTTAACTATAATTTACTTGATTTTTCTTTAAAGGCAATTCCTATACATTTGCACAACCAGGACAAGAATTCAAATTGAGAATGTCCGCTCAAGGGACTCTTCACTGTACACACACATGTAAGCTTTCAGTACTAATTCACGTGATCAATAACAAAGGCAAAATAAAGCAAACTCAACCAATTACGTGAAAAGGTCATTAACATTTGGGCCCTACCCCTTGCAGATGTTAATGCTCCCCCACAGAGTGAGATGCAGTTGTTTTTTTTTTCTTGGTGAAATGTTCCCAATTTTAAGCCGTTTATCGCGTTTAAATGGAAAAATACGCGCAGAGCACAAACGTAATACAGTTGCATATATTTATATAGACTATAATTAAAAATACTATCAAAGTGTCACAAGATAAGAACAAATAAGATATATGGTCGGGGCTTCTCGCCGCAATTGCCGTTGAATAACGATGCTTATATAAAAACACACAAGTTGCACGTTGTTTAATTTGTTGCAAAATTTGTTGTTACTGTCTCAAAAGGTCATTTTATTTACACACACCAACACACACACACGGCTGGCACAAGAAATTCTACACAACTTTTGAAAAATTTAAAGAAGTACCAGAACATACTTCGATTAGGTAACAACTTTTTGATTGGTTTTTAGGTTAGAAAAGCGCAACGCGAAAAATTCCAATTTGCATAGCGAGCGCATTTCATTTTTCAGCTCATATGCATATGAAAACAAATCATTTAATTGCTGGCATTGTGTTATTGGAGTTTAATTGTATTATCAGCTTTAAATTGATTTAATTTGCGTGCCTGTGTGTGCGTGTGTGTGTATGTGTGAATGCACTGGCTACCGCTTCCAGAATTTAGGCATGGTTATTTGGCAACACGTACCTGTGCCTGTGCGTTCATTAATCTGGCTGCCATAATTACGCGTTTCTTTTTCGTACAATATTCAACTATTTATAAACACTCGAAAATTTTGTTAGGTGACTTTAAATGATAACCCAGTCGTACATCAAAATTTTCAGCCCTCTCAGCCGGAAGATTTTAACACAGACTGAGCGCAAATCGCAAAAGCTGGCTGGCGGTGAGGGTGACATGGTATTAGAGATGAGCAACAATTGTCGAAGTGACTGGTAAATTTCGATAAAAGCGACTGACTAGTTTGTTAATTGTAGTATAAGATGATAAAAAAAAGAATATAGCTGCGAGTCTATTAAGAAAACGTTAATAATAACTGTCTAAGTGAAAATTGATTGACAGCTTTTTAAAATTATATTCCGAAAAGTCACTGTGACAATTGCCCACAACTAGTCGATGTCGTCATCGTTATCGATAACAATAACTAGTTTGTTAGCCAACACTGCTTTTATGTTTTGTTTGCGTGGGTGGATGGGCGGGCTTGCGCCCATTTGTCACAACTGTGCGAATAATATATTAGTTGGAAAAACATAAATTAGAACTATCCAGAAATGTGCGGTCATTTGGCTGCTTGGCATTGCAATGTCCGATCGTCGTAAACGTGGTTGTATGCCCGAAGTAACTGTAGATTATCACGCAGTGCCGTTACATGGGACTCCAACGGAAAATCTCAATCGAAATTCAAACTCAACGCCAACGACTACGTCATGCTGCAGGCGTCCCGCGGCTGCTGCGGCAGAGCAAAACTCCTTATGCTGTGGTCATGGCTATATTATACCCGTGTTCATATTGTTTGTGCTTGTTCTAATTGTACTGCTGTTGCCTTGGGAAACACTAAATGGCCATATGGACGAAACTACCCCCGTCGAAAAGCCGTTGCCTTGTCAACTCCAGCTGGTGGAGACGATACCAATTGGCTTGAACTACACGCACGATAGTCCCAAATTTTTGAACACTTACGAGGCGTGGCAGCTCCTGCTGACCAAGGCAAAGGCGACGATAGACATAGCTGCTCCGTACTGGACATTGCGTGGAGTCGACGTGAATGACAGCAGCACCCAGCTGGGTGAGCAGCTATTCCAGCGTTTGCTCTCGAATGGGGATCCGGGCAAGCCTAAGTTGCGCATACGCATTGCGCTGAACAAGAGCCTGGAGAGCTCGTGGCATGCGGATGCCCGAATCTTTGCCAACTATGGCGCCGCTCAAGTGGTGGCCGTCAAGCTGGCCAATGAGGGTGGTGCCTTGCACACAAAACTCTGGATTGTGGATGGACAGCACTTCTATTTGGGCAGCGCCAACATGGACTGGCGCTCGTTGACCCAAGTCAAGGAGCTGGGCGTGCTTGCCCAGAACTGTCCGCAGCTAGCTCGCGATTTGTCCAAGATCTTCAAGGCCTACTGGCAGCTGGGCAGTGATAAGGATGCAGTCATGCCCAAGCCGTGGCCATGGTCCTATTATACCCCATACAATCTGCGTCAGCCCATGCTCATTCGCGTCAACAGAAATTATACCATGCGTGCCTATATATCCAGTGCACCGCCGCCACTTACGGCCAGCGGACGTACCCATGATCTGGATGCCATCTTAAACTGCATAGATACGGCTTTGGAATTTGTGCATATTGCTGTCATGGACTACTATCCGTTGATTTTGCTGGGCGGCAAGTTGCAGTTTTGGCCGCCCATTGATAATGCTCTACGGAAAGCAGCCGTGGAGCGTGGCGTGGCCGTAAAGCTGTTGATTTCGTGGTGGAAGCACTCGGATCCCAACGAGGATAACTATCTGCGTTCGCTGCAGGAGTTGTCCACCCTCAACCACCAAGTAGACATACAAATTGTGAGTATTTGTGGTTTATTTCAAACATCAAATTTATACTGGTTTTATTTGCAGCGCCGATTTATTGTGCCTTCGGATGAGCAGCAGCTGAAGATACCCTTTGCCCGTGTCAATCACAATGCCTACATGGTCACCGAGAGAGTTGCGTATATAGGCACATCCAACTGGTCGGGCGAGTATTTTACCCACACGGCTGGCGTCGGTCTGGTCCTGGCCGAAGTGGACTTTGAAAATGAGACGCAACACACTTTGCGCTCGGATCTTTTAGATGTATTTGCAAGGGATTGGCATAGTCCCTATGCGCTGCCGCTGAAATATAATTTGCGTCTTTGAGTTTTTAATATTTAAATTTTGCGCGCGTTCGTTTCGCCGCGCTGTTGTTTTACAACACTGCCACATAAAGCTGCTGCATGTCATAACAAATAGTCACATCCAACCTCAATTAGAAAATTACACAATAAATCCAATATCAAGCCGAAAAAGACATTTTCGCACCTGTTAGCAACGTCCATATGTGCACCCGCTGAAATATTATTTGCGTGTTTAAGTTTTTAAAATATTTTTAAATTTTCCGCGCAATTAACTCGCTTTGCTGTCGTTTTCCAGCACTGCTCCATACAGCTGCTGTATGTCATAACAAATAACCTAACCTCAATAAAAAAATGACAAAATAAACATAAAATAATGGCAAGCAAAAAGCCCACGCGTGATCTGATCGGCATTATTTGGACGAATTTTTGGCGTTCGTTCTTGCCGCGTAAGTATCGTGGCGATTACAAAGGCGACGATTACTTTGGCAACAAATACTTCGAGATACCAGCCAATCCGGCTGTTGGCCAACGCAAAGAACGCTGGTTCGAGCCGGCCGATAAGGAGGCCTTTGACCAGGAGCTGACCGCCGAATGGGAGGCCTGGCTGCGTGGTCGTCGCGAGGAGCCGCCCTCTCGCGATGAATTGATCAAGAATCTTCAAGTCATCGAGATGAAAAAGCGCAATGCAGCTGAGCTGGATGCGCAGTATGCCAAGGACAAGGACGCGGGCGCCCTGCCCAAGCAGGTGGAGGGCGAGACAATTGGCACGTATCCCAAGTACAAGGATTACGAAATAAATCCCGGCAAGAAGCCAATGGATGAAAAAAAATAAACATTGTTGTTTGTGTATTTTGAATTTATTTGTTAATATATGTACGTATTACTAGTTTAACTTTATGCGGTAGTTCACCAATCATTCAAATCTAAATCCTTTACAATATCCACAGCCGTGGCGGCTTCATCGTAATCATCTGCAGCGGGTTCTGCGGGCACCGCCTGCTTTGGCTCTAAACGCGGCTCATTGTCCTGCTTGTGTTTGGGCTTCTTGGGCTGCGGCGGCACTGCTTCTTCTTCATCGTCATCGTCGTCGTCGTCGTCATGGGGTATGCCCGCTGCATCATCGTCTTCCGAGTCCGATGGGAACAGCTCCAGTTCGCCGTCTTCATTACGTACCGTCACGCCCGTCTTGGCCGCCGGTCGCTTCAGTTTGGGCACATCGTAGTCCGCATTGATGTCATCTGTTTGGGCCGCCTGGCGTCGCTTCTTGGTCTCGTGCGTCTTCAGCCAGCTGGCATAGTAGATGTCCAATGGTGTGCGCTTATTGCGCACCTGCTGCTCCCAGGCCTGCACCGCCTGTGCATCCTTCAGGTCAAAGGTGACGCTGCTCTTGCTGCGCTGCTGCTCAATGAAACGGCTGCTCTCCTGAATCTTCTCCAGCAGCTGTTTCAGCTTGCGCACATAGTTGGCATTGCGGCACTCCTTGAGGTAGGCCTTAATGGCCATCACCACAGGCACCACCAGATCGCTAAACGCCAGCGTGGCCGACTCATGCGCCAGATACTCCAACAGCAGGCCGCACACCTGCTCGACGACCTCATCGCGGAATCCGTTCTCCGCCAGCTGCGACTTGTTCAGACGCAAGATGCACGTAAATTGCAGCGGCTTCATGGACACCGATGTGTGCTTCCGATTGAAGGTATTGCTGCGCAGCACCTCGACAATGAGCGGCAGGATTGGCACGTACGTGTGCGTCTCCTTGGCCAGCGAGATGAGCGCTTGAAGGCAATGGAAACGTAGCGGAAAATACTGCGCTGTCGGTATGAGTCGAATGACGCCGGTGGCGATGGTCACCAGTGGATAAACCAGCGGCTGCAATTGCGGTTTGTTTGTCGTCGCGCCAAGCAAATCCGACCACAAGCGCAACGAATTGATAAACTGCCAATTGTAGACCGCCTGGAAGCTGTCCTTCTTCTTTAAAATGACCGCATTGCGCAGATGTATGGCCAGCTGACGTATGTAGAGAAAGGCATGCTGATAGCTAACGTTCAGGTCCAGGGCGAACATCTCCACAAGCGAGCGGCGCATAAAATTGATGCCCGGCAACGTGCTGGGCGAAACGAACTTGGAGTTGCGCACATACGCCAGATACATGGCCTTCAGCACATGATTCAACATGGTGGCCTGCAAGTGTAACAAGTCAAGTGTTAATAAAAATTCTGTACAGGATTGGGCGGCAACTAACCTGCTGTTTTCGTGTGATTTTCAGTATGCACAAAAAAGCCAGCACGCGCACCGTTTCATCTCCCGTGGCCCACAGCACAATCAGACGCTTGAGGATGGTCTTACCCAACGCGGTAAATGGCGCGACCATGCCGGCCATTTGATGCAAATGCTTGAGCAGCACATTAAGTATATTCGAGCTGGACACCTGCTCCACAAGGCGTATCAAGTCGCCCAGATAGTAGCGCAGGCAGCCACGCACCTTTACCCACTTCTTGTGCTTGTGCAGCGGCATGCTGCTGTTGGGCTTGACGCCCAGCACACGGATTATGGCTGGCTGCAAATGGAGCACGCACAGCTGGATGACGCCGTTGAAGGTGGCGGCGCCAACAACTTTGTAGGTGCCGGCATTGGCCTGTTCACCCTCGGCATCGGCACTAATGCTGGCCAACGCGGAGTTGAAGGCTTGTATAACCTGACGCACTGCTTCAATTGACACATTGGGCTTGGTCAGCTGCAGTTCCCATTGGCGCAGCATGTTAAGTGTTATTTTTTGTGCGCCACCCGCAGTTGCTGCGTCGTCATCCTCGTCGCCCTCAAAGTCGCTCTCATCGCTGGCCACGGCCAGATCATCGCTGGGCTTGTGATATTTCCCATCATCCTCCTCGCTGTCCCCAGCTTCCTTTTGTTCAGCTGCATCAGCTACCTCCTCATCGTCATCATCACTGTCCATGAGATTAAACTCGAGCAATTCCTTATCGTTCTTTTTCAGAAAATCATAGAACTCGGGATCTATATCCTTAAGACCTTCCAAATCCTGTTTTTTCAACGTTTTCGCCGCCTTCTTCTTTGGACGCTTCTCATCTTTGCTTGTTGCGGCGGCGCTCTTTTCTTTTACTGTTTTTTTTGTTGCCTTTGGCAACTTTGGCTCTTCTGACTGCGGCTTTTTCTTCATGACACCCTTTTTTGGCTTTGTTTTGTCCAGGGACTTGACTTTTTTCGTTGCTACCTTCATTGTTTTTTGGGAATTAAATAAAACCAATCTTTAATAAATTCGATACTCGCTCAACACGTGCCGCTTTACATTTAACAGAACTACTCGTTACTTAACAGTAGTATCGCCACTTAACAGAGCTAGTTCACGGTTAACAGCAGGGTTTGCAGCTGTTTATATATTGTGGTGGCTGCTCGATAGACAGCCGATATTTTGTTGGCGGGTTTTTTAAATTTGTGCAAGTACAAGCTTTTAAGCTACGGATATACAACTTTAAGAGATCTTAGCATTTTCTAATTATAGCCTTTTCGTAAAATAGCAGCACAGCATAAGGCTGTGTGACAAAGATAAATTGCATTTTGACAACCAAAAAACAAATATGTCTCCTTCCAGCTGCACATTAATTAATCAGTAAAAACGTCGATCAACTAATGGAAACGCTTAAGGGGGCGTTGAATAAGCTCTACTATCATTTTTCAGTTGCAGTTACGCCTGCGTCTGCGTCAGGGGCCACACATCTGGCCAACTTGTTGCCAACTGCCGCGCAACAAGTTGTTGTTGTTGTTTGCAGTTTGTTTGTTTTTATTGTTGTTGTTGTTGTTATTGTTGTTGTTACAGAGACTGAAAACGAGAGTTAGGCTTAAGTGGAGCAGGGGTTGTTTGCCTTGATCAACGGCACTCGCAATTATTAATAGAAAAATTCACGTAATGTAAAACAAAAACAAAAAAAAAAAACAGAAAAACTTGATACGCCCAGCTTAAATAATTGTATGCATGCGAGGAGGGCAGGGAAGGGGCTGGGGAGGGGTAAGAGAGAGCTCAGATCCGCCTTAACAACACCTACGTTTGGCCCCCCTTGAATTACAGTTATGCATTTCTGGTGAACGTGTGCTGTGCAGCTCTTCCAGACATCCTTCAGCAGTTACGAAATGGCTTAAACGGGAATGCCAGTCGTCCCGTCCCGCATGGTACCGCCGCAATAAAAGTGTCAAACGTGCCCCGGCCCCAGCACCAGTTCCAGCGCCGCACGCAGTAGCAGTCGGCGCCGCTGTTGTTACCATGTCATGTTGGCAGCCACTCCCAATCGCATTTGCCCATAAATCTTGCCCGGCCAGTTGCCATTCACTTTTTTTTGTTATTTTTTTCTTATAATTGTCTTTTATTTATGTTTTCCTCAACGCGTGCACGCAAAACGCATGACACAGCTGCAGCCGCAGCGACAATTTCCTCGAACGCGTTGCAAGTTCAAGTTTACGCAGCTTTTAAGCCAAATCGAAATCAGCTTCCTGCTTGGGCGCAGCTTTGCAACGCACTTTACTGGTTTATTCGCACGCAGCAGCAGCAGCAGCAGCAGTTGGCCCACAAAATGCGCAACTGCATCAGCTTTTTGGCCAAGGCCAAGCCAGTCAATTGGGCCAACGCATAAGGCGTGCGCCGCCCGTGCATTGCTTTGGCTTTGGCTGCCGGTTTGTCGATCTTGTTTTTTTTGGCCATTATTGTTGTTGTTTTGTTTTTGTTTACGATTTGCTGCCTTAGTTGTTTATGTTTATGCGCTCATGATCACATTGTGTGGGCGATGCCATGAATTACCGAATAAGGTTAATGGACTAACTCTGATCTTAGCGCAGAGCCGTAAAAGAGTCTGCAATTGGCTTTTAAAGTGTTTAAGTGCAATTAATTGATTTTATGTGCAATTGTAAATGTGTGCTTCGATTGGAATAGTCCTTACAATGAACAGACATTTCAAATTAAATATTAACTAAATTTAGTCGTGTCTTCATGTCAACTAGGCATGATTACCAATCATATTATATATATAGTTTAATGTTAAAATAATGATAAAATATATATAAAAAAAAATACTTTTTGAAAAAGATAAAAGCTATTATTAGTTTCTTAAACAAATTATATTTCTGCATGCCAAGAGATTCTAGTCGGGAGCTCCCGACTAGGGGATACCCTGAACCCTCTTCTTCCAACATCAAATGCATATATATATTCTATTTTAGAAGCTATATGCCAAGTTTGGTGACTCTAGCTCTTATTATTTACCAAAATTGCCCAAAAAAACAGGATATAGATATCGATATCGATTTTTATCGATTGCTCGGAAACGGAGTAAGTTATCGATTATCGGAAACAAACTCGATCTGCGCAGGCACTAGGAGCACCTACATCTAAAATCAAGTTTCTAGCTCTTATAGGTTCTGAAATCCTGGCGTTCATACATACGGACGGACGGAAGGACAGAGAGAAGGGCATGGCTAGATCGACTCGGCTATTGATGCTGATCAAGAATATATATACTACATACATTTGGATTTTGCACAAATACAATATACCCTTATACCCATTTTTAATGGGTTCAGGGTATAAAAATATGAACTTTCGAGTCGGGCGTTTCCTTCAAGTCCAGAAAACTGGTTGCCCCCAAAAACTTGTCTTGCACTCACATGTTTCATATCTCTAGATCTCCTCCTCCTCTGCCTCCCTCCCCTCCCGCCGTCCCACACGTTATAAGCCTTATCAAGTGAAGGCAATTGGCATCCCCCAATGCAAAAGCTACTTAGTTGTGGCCGTTGAAGCGTGTACACTTCAACCTCAAGGCGGAGGCATGTCATAAGCATTTGAGAGCTGGCCATAGAACGTGTTAAATAAATAATAGTTACTTTATAAGACTCGTAATGCTCTCTGTTCGTTGTGACAGTTGTCGAGTGGGTCTGGCCACAAAAGTGGCTAATTATTGCGTTAACTTAATGGCCATTAACTTTGCCGCTTACGAGCACAATTGTAATTGGATTAATTACGCAAAGAGATTGATTGAATAGAGCCTAGTCAAATCACATCAATAGGTATTAAATATGTACATTAAAACGAATTGAATATAATTAAAATTGCCGCAACAGACCCGAATTCGCAGTTTTCGGAGGCCACCCACTTGAATTCCATAATCAAGTCGAATGTTAGTTTAATTCAATTATTTGCAAACAATTAAATTAATACCTGTTGTTCTGGAGTCTATCCGACCAACATCTATCCTAATGTTGAGCTTGCTTAAAGGCTAATTATATTTTAAATCCACAAAGTAAACCCCGAATTGTAAATAGTATTCGGAACTTAAGAGGTTGATTGGGACTGAAGCAAATGCCTCACCTTTAGGCTCTCCCCATGAGCTCAGGTTCGTAAACGTATTCATTAGAATTTAATATAAGGCTTAGATTAAAAGTAACTGGACACATTTCACCACAGTTTTCCGCCTGAAGGCGTGGTTCTTGCGAAACGCGTGAAATACGTGTTAAATGAATTAAATTCATTTGCGGTTAAAATTCATAAGGATTACGTATAATATAATAAGTTATATATAAGTTTAAACCCTCAACTATCAAATCCTTGACTTCCATTTTCACTAAAAAGCGTGAAACACATCTGAAATGAATTTATATTAAGTTCGTTTGATTTCGAAACTTTAACCAGCAAATTTGTAACCTCTATTTCCACTAAAAAGTGTGAAGCATATCTCAAATAAAGTTTTACTTCATTTCAGATCTTGATCTAGAGAAGTTTCACACAAATGATTTCCCCCAATTTTCCACTGTTGCTGGTGGAATTCCTAGCATAAACCTTTAATTGAAAATATATTTATTGCATTATATGAATATTTCAATTATATCGAGGTAAATGTAGAAGTCATACAGAAATCTACAACAGAATCGAGTCTTGCCTCTGCGAATCGCGTCGTGTACATTTATGATTAGCAACTAAATATACTCTTTTTTAATCATTTCGAGTAGGGTATGACAAACTAAATGAAATAATGAGCAACATGCTTAGGTGTCGGAGGCGTGGGTGTAGAAGGCAGCCGTTGCGGCAATCGGCCAGCCAACACATTTAGCAACTAACCATTGGCAGTGTATGAATGTCTGGCCACCATTTGGGGCCGATCTGGTGGCAACTGGCAGCAGCTTGCAACAATCGGCAGGCCGCAAATTGAATTCAAGCGTGGCTAACATTGTTTAGGCCAGACCCACAAGCCACCAAGCCGCCAAGCCGCACTGGGCCATAATTAGTTTATGCTCTTTTATGCGATTTTAAGTATGGAATTCGCATTTATCTGCTGCCGCCGCTCCAATGGTGGGCGTTGCACGGTTACAAAAAAAAAAAAAAAACAACAAAATATTAAAAAAAAAAAGTGAAATATTTTGATAAGGACTTTTGTCTGCAAGCATGATGCAATCGCGCCTCGAGATTGCGCCAAGCAGCACTTGTTAGCGCGCTGCCTGACTTTGGGTTAGGTATTAAAATGCCACAAAAATTGGGCCAAATGGTAAATGTAAGTGTGCTGTTGCCGTCGAGTGTGACATGTGCATTGTTGTTATACCGTGCTGAACCCACTGAAAGCGCTTAAAAGCGGGTATACTGGCTGTGTGCAAGCGCTTGTAACGGCCAGAAGGAAGCCCTTGCGATCCCAGAGATATATATCAAGATCAATCTCAGAGACTATTACCTTGTATTTGAAACGTAGCTTATTTTGCAGCACATGCGAGAAATTTATTGCTTTGGAACTGGGGACATCATATTTAGTTTTCAGATACAGAATATTTAACCCTTACGATACCTCCTCTCCCTGTTCCCATTAGAATGCATTCTTTGAGATATCGCCTTATACTTCACTATGTACACAATTGTGCAAAGTATTCGGGCTCCTTCCCCTGTTTCCCTTGGAGTTATGTTTCTTCAAAATTGTATACAGATCGGACTACAAGTGCCGATATTAATCAATACCGTATTTTCCATACAGTGTGGGAGGAGGGAAGAAGCATAATTATTCCTTTATATATGTATTTCTTGTTGTTGTATACAAGAAAGTTATTAACTTTAGAGCGACAGCTTGGCGCTGGCTCCAGGGTATCTCCCAGTCGAGCGCGCCCATCTTCCAGCGCACGTTTGTTTTGAATTATGCAATTGCTCGGTGTCAGGCTGATTTATGCCAGTTGACCGCCCAACACAAGCGGGTCTAACGCCTCGCCGCTTGGACGCCTCCTGCCGCATGTCACGTAGCATTTGGCCAGATGTGTCCAAGATCAATGCCAGACCAGCTCAGATTTGCATTGTGCGCATGTCCGTTGCTGGAATTTCGAGGCGCGGCTGGGCAAAATTAAATGGGCGTTCGAGCTGAACTTATGATCCGTGAATGCTGCAGCTTTATTTATGCTTGGAACAGAAACAATATGCATATATAAATGTAACTTGGTAAAAAAAAAAAGAAAAAAACAGACATCTCTTCAGACTTTGTAGCCAACAAGGTGACGGCGTCCAATGACTTCGCCCATAAAGAACCAGGTGATCACCTCAATGGTCACCAGGGTATTTAGCCAAGCCTCAGCGATGGTCACCTTGCCGAGGCGACTGCCAGCGCCCTTCACATCCTTTTTGGCTGACTTGGCGGTTGCTTGCGCTGTCTTGCGTATATGGGCAAAATCTGCAGGAGTTGGCGGCACCAGCTCCACCTTGGCATAGCGCATGAACTCATCGAACTGCGGACGAGCCTGGGCCTTGAGTTCTGAGGGAAATTTTTGAAGAGATTAGCTGAAAGCAACATAAATTGATTGATAACTTACTGTTGAACAAGACGGTGGCCTTGGCGACCAGGTTGGCCATATTGAATAGAGGATGAAAAGTTAGAAAAGCTGGAAATTTATTGCTTGAAAGCACGTTTTAAATCAGTTTTTATGTGTGCAGCAAAGCTGTGAAAAGCTGACAACGCAGTCAAGGCAGCAAAAATATGTACAAATCGGAACGCTTGGAATGAAACAAGAAACTCGGGCAACAGCTATCGATAACAATGTGTTTCGCCTTAAATTTATATTTGATAATTTGAAAATATTTAAATATAGGAAAATCGCCTATTACAATGCCCAAATAATTTGTGTGTTGGCCATGTTCAGCGACAAGAACAAAAAAAAAAAAAAATCCAGCAATCCATGTAAATGTTTTGAAAAATTTGCATAATGGACCACGCTAGGCGCTTGTCTAGCACAAATTTCGTGCAGACCAGCGCCAATTAGCCGATTTTGTGGCGATAACTGACCGATCATTACAACGCGAACAAGATAGTTATTAGCCAAGCGTTTTATGCTGAGCCTAATCTCCACCCACCGCCGCAGAGCAACACAATTGGGCCACGAAACAATGGTCAAGATGTTCGTGGATTGGCATACAAATGTTATAGGCTAAAGCAGATCTGCCCTGATAGAGTTATATATCTACAAATACGCCCAGTAATTTCATCATTGATTGGCTGCCTTACAGTCTAAACGGTTGGAATCAAATAAATACATTACAAGTTGTTTTTTAATTTCCTTGCTTTATGAATATTAAAGTCGATTGCATTCCAATCGCCCGTTACGGCCGATCTGAGGCATATCATATAAAATGTGATTAATGCTGGGTTTTAACCTGTCAAAACCGTGCAGCTGCCTCTTAAATGGTTCTGATCGTGTTTTATAGCTTGACCAACTCATTTGGTGTTTCAAATTGTCTTTGACTCTTTGACCTGCTCGTTAAATGCGATTTGCATCTTATGTCAATTGCAAGTCGAAGCTGCCCAGCATTCTGGTACTTTAGTAAGTGTCCAAATATGGAAAAGTAGTTCAACAATTTGATTTGCTATTTTGCATTTTTATTGTTTGCCAATGCTGACAGCGTTTGATTATATTTATTTTTGGGCGTTGCCCATGCACATGCCTTCCTACTTTGGTGCCCGGGAAATGCTCGTTGTAAAACAGCAATTGTTCATTGAGAGCACTGAGAAAAATCGCAAAAATTATTCAATTACATTTAAAATAAGTTATTATTAAAAGGAATTAAATTTAAACATTTAACTCGTAAGGAGTTCAATAGGGAACTCATGAAAATGTGCTCCTTTCCAAATCGATTGTTTTTTGAATTTCGATATTGATTTAAATAGAACAAGTAAGAGGTTCTAGTCGGAAGGTCCCGCTAGGGGATACCCGGAACCCTCTTCTTCCATCATCAAATGCATATATATATTCCATTTTAGAAGCTATATGCCAAGTTTGGTGACTCTAGCTCTTATTATTTACCAAAATTGCCCAAAAAAACAGGATATAGATATCGATATCGATTTTTATCGATTGCTTGGAAACGGAGTAAGGTATCGATTATCGGAAACAAACTCGATCTGCGCGGGAGCTAGGAGCACCTACATCTAAAATTTCAAGTCTCTAGCTCTTATAGGTTCTGATATCCTTGCGTTCATACATACGGACGGACGGACGGACAGACAGACGGACATGGCTAGATCGACTCGGCTACTGATGCTGATCAAGAATATATATACTTTATGGGGTCGGAGATGCTTCCTTCTGCCTGGGTATAATAATAATGGCAGAGTTTATTTTTGGGTTTCATTTTTTTTGCAGTGCAAGCAAGCACGCGACTTTGTCTGTTTGCGGCCAAGTGATATATAATTAAAAAAAAATTCTGACAATCACAATAACAACAGCTTATAGCTATGTTTTATATGCAATTGCTGCCAGCGCCGAAGTAAACAATGTTCGGCGCATGGGCGCAAGGGAAACTGAGGTTTGCGGGCGCATATGGCCGCAGGTCTATGCTTATGGCTGTGTTTGTGGCTTTATCAATATAATTTGGTTGTTGTTGTTGTTGTTGCAATTTTCGTGTTGTCGATTGGTTAGGCCGATAGCTTGTGTGTGTGTGTGTGTACGTGTGCTTGTATGTTTCCTTCGGCTCTAAATTCTTGCTTATTGCAATTTGCGCAACAATGCGGCCCCGCCCGCACACGCCGGACCCACCACCAGATGCTCCATAGAGAGACGCCGACACCACCCAGCAGATCTCAGCCGGACGATTTGACGCTGCGACGACGACGACAGCGACAGCGACGGCGACGCTGACGTCGCAGCTGGGCAGTGAAAGGCTAGCACCCAGGCAGAGCACTTGGCCAGAGATCTGCTCCAATTCTGCGACTGCGACGCCAGCAGAGGCTCTCAGCCATTGGCTTGTGCCAGGCCTTTGGCTTTGGCTGGGCGGGCGTCGTCGTCGTCGTTGTTTTGAGTCTAGTTTTTGTGTGTTTATTCGAATTTGATATATATTTTTTCTTGAGTGCATTTGTTGTTATTGTTTGCCACTTTGGTGTGGGGCAGGTTTTTTTTATTTTTTATTTTTAATGCTGTTGGAAATGCATTTGCTGTGCGAAGTCCGCGCCAATTTTTTAGTATAAAAGTTACCACAATTTGGTAGTCGAAATCAGAATCAACTCGTTCGCTGAGCATTCAACAAGTCTTCCTTCTACTCCTTCAACTTCTTTACAAACCCTCAACAACAACAACATGAAGGTAAGACTTGGGCACAAACAGCTTATAATTTGATTTTTTGAACTGGCGCTAATCTTGGTGCTTCTCCTGCTTTCAATTTACAGTTCGCCGTTGCCGTAGTCATGTTCGTGTGCGCCGTTGCCGGTGCCCAGGCTTCGTGGGCCGCCATTGCTCCCGGTGTTTCCTATGTCAACTCTGTGTCGCATGGTGGACCCGGTCTGTGGGGTGGTGCCTGGAATGGCGCCTGGAACGGTGCCTGGAATGGTGGCTGGAACAATGGCTGGGCCGCACCCGCTGCCGTTGCCGTTCACGCCAGCGCACCCTGGGGTCTCTCTGCTCCCGGCTGGCACGGTGGTGTTCCCGGCATTGCCCTGGCTCAGGGACCCGGTGCCGCTGCCCTTGGTCCTCATGGTCATGAGGGCGTCTATGTGGCCAAGACTCGTGGTGCCATCCACACCGCTCCCCTCGCCGGTCACATCAACTCGGCCACCTCCGTGAATGTGGCTCCTGCACCCGGAACCCTGTAAATGCTGCCAAAAAAAAAAAACCACCACAACAAATAACAAAACGAATGCCAAATGAAGTGAGCAGCTGGCGGGCAGGACAACACAGTCGGGATCACCGTGCAATTGGCCAACCAGTTGTTGTCTAACTCTACGCTATCCACTTCTTTCCACGATTTCAACGACTCTCTACTCGGATACTCTACCACCATCACCATAGCCACCCATTATTCTTAAGCACACCGCTCTTAGTCCCGTTTGCGAGCCATTGCGGGGAATCTGCGGGCGACTCGTCCGCCTGCGGATTTCCTGGACTGGTTCACACCAAAACACACACTCACTCACGCGCACATTTGAGTTAGTTCTGTGTTCAGCAAATAAGTCCAACAACAGCAACAACAACAATTACAACAACTACAACCAACAAATAACAGCATGTTAATTTCTTATTACTTGAGAACTTTACAAAACACCAACTTTTCCAGCTTTCCCTCTATCTATTCCCCCATCTATATATATTTGCAACAATATACTTTCTATCTATCACACTCTATTCCTTTATTCTTTTCGAAAATCTGTACATATTCGGTATATATATATATATATACATACATACACATATACTTACTGTAGTAATTTGCAACAATTGTAAGATTGACGAAAAACGTTTTAAATAAACTCATTCAGCGTTTTTATTTATGCGAAAATTTAAAGGATTTCATTTCAAGATGTTTTGGGTGAGAGTATTTACGGATGAAAAGAAAAGTTGTATATAAGAGTTATAAGAAAAATTAGTTTAAAAAACTAGATTCTTATTTCTAGATATTCCCCATTATTATTCCATCATAGTCTTTAGCTTTTAAGTCCCTCTCCGATATATCCTATAATATCCTTATCTAGCTTTAGCTGAGTATATGCCGATTACTCTGTTAAAAACTAATGACATATCATCATCATAATACAAAGAACTGATAGAAGTGTGGAGTTTTCCATCAATCGCAATCCACCTGGCTTTAACTATTTTAAGGGATAAATGTTATATATAACATTTTTCGTATTTCTTAAAATGTATTATCATGTAATAGCCGCAAATATTCCTTTTAAAAATTTAAGATTTATAGCAACTTGTTCCAGTTCTCCAGCTGCTCTGTTAAGTTGGCTGCGTTGAAGCATGCTTATTAAGTTGGCCGCACTAAGTTCTCAAAAGGTGCTCAATCAAAGGTACCCTAGGCACAAAAATTACCCAACCCAATCCATAAAAACAATTGAAATGTGACCGCGTAAAGCGAAGGTAATCATTAAAATACCTTAGCCATGTAATTAAACGTATAATCAAATTAATAAACAGTACTATAAACTGTGACCTTGGTTCGTAGCACCCATAGATCTAACCCTGAGAAAAATTACAGATTGCTTAATTGATTGCATATCGAAAAGAATGTCTAGATCAAATATGTCTTTGTACTAGCTTAAGTGATTTGATCGACTGTGCACTTAGCAGTTAATACTAGATGATATGTTTGGACGGTTTTTTTTATGGCCATCGAACGGTAGTCAAGACCGGGGCCAATGTACATTTGAGCCAACTAATTGTTGGCAATTCATAATGCGACCACAGGGCGTATGCTTAATTATGCAAACGCTTAGCGCTAATTACAGCCCAGAAATGGTAACAGCTCGAGCACCTGAGACCAGATCGAACTCTATAATATAAACAATATATATATAAATATATATGTATATGTATATATATATGTATCTTGATGGAGGTTTAAATTATGGCAGCATTAATTACAGTTTATCAGCAAAAGTATCTCAACTTGAACCCTTGCAGAGCAATGGATACATTTGTTGTTGTTCCTTTTGGCGTTGGCGTGTTGGCCAATACTTGTCAGCCAATCTGTGAGGGGCTGTGCCTTCAAATAGGTGTCTTTAGTGCAACGACACCTGACTGGTTTTCCTGGCTTTGTTTGGGGTTTTCTTTTTTTGGACAGCCGCCTCAGAACTGGTTCGCAATGCGGCTGCAATTGGCAAGGTTTTCGATTTTTATGTTTCTATTCAATCCAAATCGAATTGTTTGCCATTTGCATAATTGAATTGTTGTTTTTTCTTTTAGCGGGTGTCTTTGTACTGCGATCTAATTGTTTCACCAAATGGCTATCTGCGTGGGTGGATCCGACTGGAATCCGGCTGTAAGTCTGCAACACCCACGCTCCAGGGAGCGGCTCTTGTGTGTTATATAATATCCATTTAAATGCACTCCATTTCGCAATCGTAGGCGGCATAATTAAACTACGTTAAGGAAGTTATCAAAGAGCTCAAATATTCTGTGTAACTCTCAAAGAGAATTCTGCTTGGAATCGAAATCGAATATAAGCTGTAAGCCTGTCTTTCGGGTTTTCCAGCTTAATATTTTATTCAAGCTTAATCTTTTCCTGTAGTCTAGTAAAAAGATGTTTAATATTTCCTAGGTAAATCGTAGTCGATGGAGGAAACTAACAAAATCCGAAGAAAAAACTCTATTAAGACTTCAGCCTTTCATTTTAATGTGGTATATTTTCGGTCGAAATCATTGTAAAAATGTCAAAAAACATTCACGAAATCTTTTCAAAAATGTCTAAAAACATAAACTGCAAAGTTCCCAGTTAGTAGATCTTAAATTCGTTGAATTTTGTAAGAACTTGAAGATTTTTTCGATTTTGAGACTTCTTCTCCCCAGAAATATATTAATTTATTTATATTTTCTTTAAATATAGAATTTGTGCAAACGTAATAAGAGTTGGTAAATAATATGAAATTTGTTTAAAATTAATTTATTCAAATGAATAGATATTATCTGTGAAGCAATTATACAGTTTTGGATTGGAAATCAATTAGGTGTGCTGTGCCATAGCCTAATCAGGATATGGAAACGAACCATGATTGGATCGTAAGCTAGTCACATTATATGCTAATGAAATACAACAACAATTAAGTAATTATACAATAAGAAAAAAAAAAACAAAATTAAATCAGAGCAAGCGTCGAGACAGTGAAAATAGTTTAACCGGAACTGCAACTGAAAAGTTGGGTTGGGCCTCGCACAGCTGAAATGCATTTCTGAACGTGGCCAAGATCTATTGGGCTTGATCGATCGACTGAGTGTTGAGTCTGGGTGTGTGTGTGTGTGTGTGCCGTGTTGCTGCTCATGTGAACGCCTGCATGTGGCATGTCATTAGCTGTAATCACATGTATGCAAAAGATATGAATATATGGCATATGTAATGTATATCTAACTCGAACTCGAACTCTCACTTGGCTGAACTTTTGCTGACCATTGTTGACGGACGTTAGCTGCATTTTTTCTGCTATAAAACTGGCCACAGTACAGCCAATTGATCAGTTCAGAACAAGAGTTCATTAAGAGCGCAACAAAGCAAACACCATTAGCACAATGAAAGTGAGTATACGCAGGGATTTGCGATCTGGCCAGGATTAACACACACACACATATTTCCAGTTCGCCATCGCTGTTGTCTTCACCCTGGCCCTCGCCATGGGCGTGCAGTCCTCGGTCATTCCGTTGATCTCTCAGCTGGCTGGTCACGGTCTGTCCTATACGGCCGTTGCTAATCCCGTGCTGGCTTCTCCCTGGGGCGTACCTGCCGCTCATTGGCCCGCCGCTGTCTCAGTTGGCTCCTGGCCGCCAGCAGCCCATGGCCCAGCTCTGATTGCTGGTCACGGCGCCGCCGTGGTGGCTCCCCATGCACCCGCTGTGGTTGTCGCACCCGTTGCCCACGAGGGCGTCTATACCGCACAGACCCGTGGTGCCGTCCACACCGCTCCGCTGTCCGGTCACATTCAGTCCGTGGCTTCGATCAATGCTGCTCCCGCTCCCGGCACCATCTAATTAAGGATTTTTCGGCAATTGATGCGCCCCAAATGGAAGTGAATATGTTAATGAAAAATGTTGTAAATACTTGTATGTATAAACAGGGTACTCGCACCGGCCATCTAAATTTTAATTTTGAACGCACTCGCTAAAATCTCGCTCGCTCTATTTATTCAAAAGCCATTTTCGTAACAAAATGAAACAAAAAAACCAACTATGAAAACGACTTTCTTTCTAGATAATAAATCTATTTAAAAAAGTTCAAAACAACGAATTTTTCTTACAATTATTTTTGTTAATGTTCAAGAGTTTCAAGTCATTAATTAAGCTAGAATGTTGCTTTTGCAAATACTTTAAGCTTTCTTGAATCCATTCTATTCAACTAAAATTAATGAGACCCTAAATTTCTAAAAATTTCTGCAATAATTCATTAAAAAATAACGCCTACAAATTTTTTAAAGAGTCTTTACCACGAAGGGGTTAAATATTGGAAACTTTCTTAACATTTATATTTTAACATACATCGATTATATTTCTTTACATTTATTGATTAACATTTTTGACTTGCTTTTTAACATTAACCTTTCTAGATTCTTTGGATTTAGATTCTTTACTATTTTAACCTTTAATTAAAATAATTGAAAGCTTATTGCAATCTCTACAATTTCTTTAATCAGACCCATTAATTAAAGCAACCTACAAATTTGCTTAAGGTCTATACAAAATAACAGTTCTAGAGCTTGTAGAAATGATTCACTGCTAAATTCTACCAATAAAGTGGCTCAAGGTTCTAGTCCAGCAACACATATAGTCATTCGATTTAGTTAGTCAGCTGCTCAGATAAAGGTCTTGACTTTAATTACGCGCATAAGCTGTTATATCGCAATTAACGGACTTTGTAATACAAAACAAGTCTCATTTAGCTGTAAGTTTAGCAATCGCAAGAGGCATAAGAACAGCTGAGATATCTTTACATATATCTATACGTATGGGCTGTCCATATATGTATATTACTATATATAGAACTGATTGTCCTGACTGACTGACTGGCTAATTGACTGACAAATACCCTTAAAAATCTCATATGGACATGGGTAAAAATTTCCCAGCTTCATAACTCGGTCAAAACTCATCCGATCTTCACGTGGTTTGGTTTTTTACCCATCGTTTGGCACTAAAAACAAATTGGCATTTAAATCTGGCAACGTAATTTTCCATCGAATTTTATTTAAAAATTGTACTCCTAAATCTCATCTCATACGGACATGTGTGAAAATTTCCCGACCCCATAACTCGGTCAAAACTCAACCGATTTTCACGTGGTTTGGTTTTTTACGCATCGTTTGGCATTTAAAACAATTTTGCATTTAAATCTGGCAACGTAATTTTTCATCGAAATTCATGTAAAAATTGTACCCCTAAAACTCTTCCCATACGGACATGTGTCAAAATTTCCCAACCCCATAACTCGGTCAAAACTCAACCGATTTGCACGTGGTTTGGCTTTTTACGCATCGTTTGGCATTTAAAACAATTTTGCATTTAAATCTGGCAACGTAATTTTTCATCGAAATTCATGCCAAAATTGTACCCTTAAATCTCGTATGGACGTGTGAAAATTTCCCGACCCCATAACTCGGTCAAAACTCATCCGATCTTCACGTGGTTTGGTTTTTTACGCATCGTTTGGCATTTAAAACAATTTTGCATTTAAATCTGGCAACGTAATTTTTCATCGAAATTCATGCCAAAATTGTACCCTTAAATCTCGTATGGACGTGTGAAAATTTCCCGACCCCATAACTCGGTCAAAACTCATCCGATCTTCACGTGGTTTGGTTTTTTACCCATCGTTTGGCACTAAAAACAAATTGGCATTTAAATCTGACAACGTAATTTTCCATCGAATTACATGTCAAAATTGTACCCCTAAAACTCTTCCCACACGGACATGTGTCAAAATTTCCCAACCCCATAACTCGGTCAAAACTCATCCGATCTTCACGTGGTTTGGTTTTTTACGCATCGTTTGGCACTAAAAACAAATTGGCATTTAAATCTGGCAACGTAATTTTTCATCGAAATTCATGTAAAAATTGTACCCCTAAAACTCTTCTCATACGGACATGTGTCAAAATTTCCCAACCCCATAACTCGGTCAAAACTCAACCGATTTGCACGTGGTTTGGCTTTTTACGCATCGTTTGGCATTTAAAACAATTTTGCATTTAAATCTGGCAACGTAATTTTTCATCGAAATTCATGTAAAAATTGTACCCCTAAAAGTCTTCCCATACGGACATGTGTCAAAATTTCCCAACCCCATAACTCGGTCAAAACTCAACCGATTTGCACGTGGTTTGGCTTTTTACGCATCGTTTGGCATTTAAAACAATTTTGCATTTAAATCTGGCAACGTAATTTTTCATCGAAATTCATGTAAAAATTGTACCCCTAAAACTCTTCCCATACGGACATGTGTCAAAATTTCCCAACCCCATAACTCGGTCAAAACTCATCCGATCTTCACGTGGTTTGGTTTTTTACGCATCGTTTGGCACTAAAAACAAATTGGCGTTTAAATCTGGCAACGTAATTTTCCATCGAAATTCATGTAAAAATTGTACTCCTAAATATCTTCTCATACGGACATGTGTCAAAATTTCCCAACCCCATAACTCGGTCAAAACTCAACAATTTTCACGTGGTTTGGCTTTTTGTTAATGGTTTGGCCCCTTGAATAAATTGGCATTTAAATCTGACAACGTAATTTTTCATCGAAAGTCATGTAAAAATTGTACCTTTAAAAATCTCACATTGAATTGTTTTCAGTGTACCTTCTAGCCAAAATGTTTCTGAAATTCAAGTCTGTCTTTATTGACACAATGAATGTAAACAGATCCAACATTTAATTAAAATTGTTTATTTATTTTCAAAACAAATTCTAGCAAAAAATATGAAAACTAATGTTTTGACAGCAGAAAGTTTGGCACATAAAAGAAAAGAGTAAATCGTTTCAAATATTGACAAAGCAATACTTTAAAACACTTCCCATAAAGTATATATATTCTAGATCCGCACCAACAGCCGAGATGATATATATCTACTAGATATATATAGTAGATAAAGATATATACCATATATATAATCAAAAATTAAAAGGCAATCAAAGCCAAGTGCCAAGTTTATGCATTTCTCAATAAGAAGAAGTTCTTAAATGAAGTTTGATTATATTGTAAGGCATCACAGCGCACATTGTTGAGGCAAAGTGAGTGCCAAGAGTAAGCCCAATAAAATAACATCTTTCATAAATTTCTGTATTTCTGATCGAACATATATGTATATAGCTACCAATCATATACCCATGTTTGAGCATTGTGGCAAAGCTGCAATTAACGCCAAGTTAAGTGTCAAGTTCATGTGCTGGCGCATAGTTTTCTCTACAGGCTGCATGTCGCAGACTTTCAGCGCGGACTGTAATTGCAACTGCACCCACTTGACTGCCCCGTAACCCCGCCCTAGAACGAGTAACCGCATTAAATTTGAACTGTTGGCTGTGAACACTCGAAGCTCTTGTGACTGACGCGTGATTTGCTTGAAAGTAGATCCGCAGCTTGAATAGCGTATATGCAAGTGTATCTGTGTGTGCCTGTGTGTGTGTGTGTGGGGCTCTCCGGTTGTACAAAGTTTCGCGATTGTTAAGCTGTTGTTGCCGCATTTGGCTGCTGAATGATTGTGCTCGGAGGGGGCCGATTGAAAAATGCGCCGCACTGCATTGATTTATTGTGCTCGCCCCCGGCGAAGAGTCAATCGTGCTGTTGCCACAATCAATGAGTGTGGCAAATGCGATCGTCAGCAGCAGCAGCAGCAGCCGCAAACTGCATCTCACCATATTCGGTGGATTGCCTGAAAATGGTTAGAAAATTTCCAACGGGCTTTTGACTAGACAATCGACAGCAAAGTGATTTGCAGGAAACGATTTAGTTTGTACCCTTTGCAGCTGTTAGTTAGTTAGTTAGTTAATTATTAAGTTAGTTAGTTGTTGTTAGTAATAAGAACTGATTTTAGTTATTGTAAATAGTTTTAACGACTTAAGTGTAAGCACTTGTGATTTTTCATGCTTACGGTTTATCAGGGCGTATACTTAATTTTTTTAATATATTTTTTAAATATATTTATTTGCATAGACTTGTGTATTAAAATATGTTTAAAATATCAAAATATCAATCAAGACCGAAGAATCTGTTCCATTTCTCACTATCGAGCTTGAGAAGGCAAATGCATTCAATTGCTTCCGTTTTTCAGAACTTGCTTCCAATAAATTGCTTCATTTAGTTTTTAAGCAAACTTGGAACCTATTACCCAGCTTATAATATATTTTGTATTTTATTTATATAAAAGCTTGCAAAATTCAAATGATAAACTTTTGTGATTGCGTCTGTTTTTCGGAACACCCAGATCATATATTTAACTGACACTTAAATGTGTTAATTTTTTTTAATAACAATTTAATTTTCTAAAATCTATTTCGACTATGCAGGCTAGGGTATTGCCATCAAGATTTCAGCTCTCTTCCGCTGCGCATTGCCCAATGAAAACCGTCTCTGTGTGTAAGAGAAAAAAGTGCATAAATGGCAAAAAAAAAAAAAGAAAGAAGAAAAGTAGAAGAAAAACAAAAACGACATCGATAGAGATAAGAGCAACCAGTGTTCGTGGCTGGGTGAAATGACTTCGAGTTGGATTCGGTATTTGGATTCGTTTAACGGCGACTCTCTGGCTGGCTGTTGGGGCCAAAACGCGCTCTGGCTCGAGGTCTGGCAATTCGGCCGGCCGTTAGTCGTCGGCAAAGACGCGCTGGCAACGCTTGTCGCAAACGAAAGTCGGGAAAACGGCATTTTGGGTAACCGTCCATCGATTTGGCAGATTCACGTCAGATGGAATCAACGGAGACAGCGTACAGTGCATGCAATTGAAGTGAAGTGTGTTGTTGTTGTTGTAATTATTGTTGTTGTTTTGGCGGCGTGCGTGCGAAAGTGTGCAGCGTTTGCACTGGGCGTTGATAATGATAGCCGGAATGACAATATTATGATAATCCTTGTATTCTGAGACTTGGCAGACAACGCGTGACGCCAACTTTCGTTGTTGCTGCTGCTTGGCTGTTTTTCATGCATATGTATATATATACATACATATATATATAAACATTATATACTTATATATCCACTTGAGCACATATTTGCGCACATTCTTGTTTCTTTGTTGTCTGCGCATTTGCCAAATATTTCATTCTTGTTTATAAACAAAAAAAAATTGGCCATTTCATTTGGCCAATTTGAACACGTTTACGCTGTGTGTTTGCGCAAATACAAATTGCAGTTTGTTCAATAAATTCAGAATTCAATAAAATCCCAGCTAATTGACGTCATTGTATGTGTGGCCCCCCACTCACACATGCACACATATGTATTTGAGTGGAACCATTCAAATTACACAATGCTATTCAAAACAAAAAACAGCTGATTCGCTTGCGCTCCCAAAAACAACCACCAAAACAAAAACAAACAAATACAATCATATTTACTTGGTCTCTCTCAGCCACTCATTCACCGCTCTCCCACTCTCGCCCACACATACACTTTTGCTGGCTCATTTGCCTGCTATTTGTTGTTACAAATTTAACTTGTTGAAAAAACTTTGCAGCTGAGCAGCGCGCAATGTGCGCTGACTTATCGTTATCCATTTCATTCTCTCGCATGGCGAATTTCTTGTGAGCAGCGAATGTCAAGTGTACGGTGTAGCGCGAGAGCGAGAGAGAGAGTGTATGTGTGCGAGATAGTGCAGTTGAATAAAACAGCCATCAGCTGGCGTTCTGCCCGCTGTCGTCCATTGCCCCCGTGTTTGCCATCAGATTATTGAAATACGCGCTATTTGCTTTGTTTTTAAATTGATTTGCATTTTTTTTTTACCGTTCTTTATTCAATAGATGTTTTTCCTTTGTTGATTCAACAATGTAGTATGATTAAGATAGTTGACGAGTACGCTTGTTGTATATATACATATATATATACTTAGGTATGTGTGTACGTGTGCATCAAAGCTGCGTAGTTGAGTTATTGTCACTATTACTCATACATAGACACAAACATACGTCAAAGTATATATATGCATAAATGCTTACATTGATGGGGAAACACTCTGAATGCGAATGCAACAAAAAGGTCTAGCAATGTCATTGCACAGTGGTCTCATTTCTTATTTATGTATCGAAAATTAAAACATAAAATAATAAAATTTAAAAAATTGAAACGTTTAATTTGTAATATAAGCAGCTAAATTTCATAATGCATTTTGTTACAAGTGTATTATATATTACTATTAAAAAGAATCTCAATGGTTTATTTGTAATTGTTTTCAAACTTTGCTGTCTTTTATTTTAATTTAAAGTCTGTATAAATGTCTGTATTGAAGCGAAAATACAAATTTTACTTGATAACATTTGCCATAACCAAAATCTAGCAAGCTGCCTTCCAATCGAGTTTGACACACTGTGCCCATTGTATACGCACACTTACACAAACGCAAGCACATGCACACAAGCTTATATTTAATTAAATCCATTTTTTTTTTCATTCGAATTTAGCTTTACTTACTTAGGCGGCAGCAGGAGGAACGGCAAACACAAATCGCATCATTTGCCTTCGAGCATCGCAATCGTTTGGGTGTTCTCAGTGCTTGGAAATTACGGGCGATAATCGTGAAAGCGCACGGGGAGAACAATAATCGGCAATTCAATTAAATTTGCTGGAGGCAGCACTAAACGCTAATTAAGATACTTTTTTTCAGCAAGTTTTAACGGCTTAATATAAACGACCCGGGCAGAGTACGAAATATATATATTAAATTCTGCTGACCCAAAAGCCTTTAAACTGGGTCATCAGCATTTTGGTGCGAGTGGAAAAAAAAAAGCGTAATTTGTGCATTTTTGTTGTTGAAACGAAATGAACTTGAAACAAAAGAAACTTCAACATTAAACTACGTGCGGAACAGAATCAAGTGCAATTGAGCAGTTCTCGAGTGGTGGCACTCCAACCCGAAATAGACCAAGAAAACAGGCCAATTGCCAATTGCCAATGACGTTGCCAGTCCAAGGTTCCCGATTAGCTTGAAAGCAGCATGAAAGGCATCTGTGGCGATGCCAAGCAGCAGCTGAACCAATGCATGCTGCTGGGCGATTGTGAGAATGCGACCGGGAATGGGAACGGGAACGGGAATGGGAACGGGAGTGGGAACAGTGCGTCTCCAGCTCATTATGGCGGACGCGTCTTTTGTGCCCGGCAAGTGCATAGTCTGGCCATACGCAATACCAGCTCGTATGATACCATGGAGCGACCCTTTCGACCGGACAATCTGCGCGGTCGCTGGTCCAAATCGGCTGACTTTTATTTCGCCAGCTCGAGTTACGCCTTCAGCACAATGGCCTTCTCGGATGCCCCCGTCTGGGCTCTGATGTTCGGCGGCTGGAGTAAGTACAACTCCTATTACTTTTTCATTTTTAGTATAATAGTTTAATTAGTCTAGTCATGTTTAGCTGCCCTTGACGTATTGGTGTCAGTATACTGACACATTATTTTCATTATTTTCATAATTTCCTTATCTACGGAATTCAATTAAATTTATGAAAAGGTTATCAGCAGAGGCTCTGCAAAAGTCGAAGCGAGCTAATTATAAACTTTGCACAAATTTGTATTAATCTTGAGCGCAGCAAGAAGGTATTATGGACTGTTATATATCAAACAGAAATTTACTTTTATTTTTATAATTAACTATAATTCATTTATGAAATTTTAAGAAGAAAATAGTATTGTATTAAAAAAGTATCCAAAATATGTATGTGCAAGGGTATTAAGACTTCGGTTAAACAAAGTTTGCGTTTTTTTTCTCATTTATTTATTTTTTCTAAAGTTCAAATACCGTCATTAAATAAATAGCTAAGCATTTCTTGCACTACGTACGTCAATTAAATCTGAACACATAAAAATAATTATTATTATTATATAGTCTATATTATATATTATTTTGTATATATTTCCTTGAGCAATTAATTAATAACAATTGCTAGCATTAGAGCATTAATACGTCTTATGCGCAGCTTTGTAGATTAATTTTCTAATAAATCAATTTAAGCCCATCTTTTTTATGCGATTATTATTTTAATGTTATGCATAAAAGCTGATTTCCTATTAAACAGAAGTTAAAACTTAATTCTCAGTAAAATTTATTGCAGATTAACTCTAATGCACTTTATGGCGTATGAGTAATATGTGATATGTTATCTTCGAGCTGTATTTATATGAAAACAAATTATAAGTTACATTATTGTTATTTAGATAAAATAGCTATTGTTGTTTGTGTCAAACCATTTTTTTTCGTTGTACACCACTGCGTATGAGTAACAAACATAGGGCCTGCGGTTAATTATACTCTTGTAGAGGGTATTTTGGTTTTGTTAGTCCTTACCTGGTTTTATACCCTTTTTTTTTGTACAACTTTCAGAATATTATCTAAGCGGCTATCTGCTGGCAGTTTGCTTTTATTCTCTGCCCATATTTCTTATACAAACATTTTTGGGACAGTTTTCCACGTCGGGCGCCATCTCGGCGTTTCGTGTGTCGCCAATATTTAAGGGTATGTATTATGGCATGTTTTATACAGTTGTTGTATATTAACTTTATATATAACTTAATTTCAGGCATTGGCTATTCCATTCTGTTGCTGAACCTGGGCACACTTACGTACTATAGCATCAATGCGGCCGTACCATTTATCTATGCCGTTAATTCGCTGCGTGAGGTCATGCCTTGGATGAGCTGCAATAATACGTGGAATACGCCGGAGTGTTCCACACACGATCATTATAATGAGGAAGTAAGTGTTGTAATTGTGTTGATTGATTGATTGGTTGACCAACAACACAGGATTGACCGATAGCTGATAAAAGCGCAGCCCAAAAATTTCACTTGCTGGCGTGGAAAATAGGCGGAAATATGTTTAATGAACATTTTTCCGCTTTTATTCTCTGTAAATCAAACACATTTTTAAAACTTGTGCAAATTTTTAGAGGACTGTTCCACACTTTTCAGCAAATTCACCAATATAAGTGGAAAATAGGCGCGCAGGGTTCTGAAAGCAAAATATTGCTTTTCGTCGGATCGGTTTTACAAGTTGCAAATAATATTTAAAATAACTTTTCACCGAAAGCATAGGAAACTGTAGAAGATAATATTTTTTATTTTTCCGATACGATTACGAATTTACCAAGTTGTACATGAAAAACAATTGTTGACGTGTTTTTCCCTTATCGGCAAATCCGGCCCAAGGTCGGGAAAATCGAGGAAAATAGTTTGTTAATTTAATGAAAAATACTTTGCCCAATTAATTTATAATTATATGTACGTATATTTACAGGAGCACGTACAAAAGCCACATGCAATTGTGGAATTCTTTCAGTAAGTCTCACAGTTTCAGATAATTACGGAATATTATAGAATTTTATTATATTTTTTTGCCCAGATCTGTGATAGGTTCGATTGGACCAGATTCCAGTGACTGGTCGCTATCCTGGCCTATGCTGCTGGCCATTGCGGGCATCTGGTGTGTGGTGCTGGCCCTGCTGCTAAGCCACGTCTCGCTGGTGGGTTGCCAAGTAGATTTTCGATGCTCATCCGAAACTAATCTTCAATCTCAACCCACAGATTGGGAAGGCGCTGCGCTGTGCCTGTGTGCTGATGTTTGGCTTCTTTGTGGCCGTGTTTGTTTATCTGGTGATACACGAGCAGGTCAACTGGCAGAGTTTGCAGGAATATTTGCATCCCACAATACCCAGCTGGCTGGGCATACAGTCGGCGCTGGGCACGGCCATATTGCAGGCAAGCATGGTGCTGGGTCCCGGCTGGGGCAGCATCATAACCCTGGGCAGCTACAATAGCTTTCGCAGCGATGCCGAACGCCTCAGCATTTGGGTGTGCCTCACCCATGTGCTCATCACGGTGATGGCCACGGTGTGCGGTCATGTGGCCAACGATCATTTTGAATGTAAGTCTCTTTTTATTAGCATTAATGCATTTAAATGTCTCATTTGAATATCTTCAATCAGTGCATGTGGCCATGTGGCATGTGGAGAAGCAGCACACGATGCAGTTCCTATATCTAGCCTACGCCTATCTCTTTGGCAGCTTTGCAACACTGCCTAGACTCTGGTCTTTCCTCTTCTTTTCTGTCATATTCCTAGCTGAATTGAGTGCGCTGGTAAGTCCTTGTCCTTATCTCTATCTCTATCCCTAATAAATATAAATACGTATCTGTATCTGTATCTGTATCTGTATCTGTATCTGTATCTGTATCTGTATCTGTATCTGTATCTGTATCTGTATCTGTATCTGTATCTGTATCTGTATCTGTATCTGTATCTGTATCTGTATCTGTATCTGTATCTGTATCTGTATCTGTATCTGTATCTGTATCTGTATCTGTATCTGTATCTGTATCTGTATCTGTATCTGTATCTGTATCTGTATCTGTATCTGTATCTGTATCTGTATCTGTATCTGTATCTGTATCTGTATCTGTATCTGTATCTGTATCTGTATCTGTATCTGTATCTGTATCTGTATCTGTATCTGTATCTGTATCTGTATCTGTATCTGTATCTGTATCTATCTGTATCTGTATCTGTATCTGTATCTGTATCTGTATCTGTATCTGTATCTGTATCTGTATCTGTATCTGTATCTGTATCTGTATCTGTATCTGTATCTGTATCTGTATCTGTATCTGTATCTGTATCTGTATCTGTATCTGTATCTGTATCTGTATCTGTATCTGTATCTGTATCTGTATCTGTATCTGTATCTGTATCTGTATCTGTATCTGTATCTGTATCTGTATCTGTATCTGTATCTGTATCTGTATCTGTATCTGTATCTGTATCTGTATCTGTATCTGTATCTGTATCTGTATCTGTATCTGTATCTGTATCTGTATCTGTATCTGTATCTGTATCTGTATATGTAAATGTATCAATATCTATATCTCTATCCATATCTATATCTATATTTCTATTTGGCAGATCATTCAAATGATGTCCGTGCTAACAGCGCTCTTCGATGAGTTTGAGCAGCTGCGCCCCAAAAAGAAACCTATAACAATTCTCCTGGCGCTCTGCCTGATGGCCACATCCATCTATTTCTGCACCCAGGTGCGTCTTACATTTCGAGCCAACTCGTTTATCTAATTTCTCTCACCTACAGAGGGGCTTCAGACAAGTTAGCGCCCTGTCGTACATGTCGCTGTTTACACAGATTATCATCTCGGCCTTGTTAGTAATGATGGCCACCTGGATCTATGGACGTGTGCGCTTCCAGTGTGATGTGCAATTTATGCTGGGCAAAACGATCTCAAGTTTTAAAATATTTTGCATACGCTTTGTGGTGCCCTTTTTTATAGCACTCTCCCTGGTAAGTCACAAATATAGATATTATATTTTTGCATCGCATTCATTCAATGAACTTTCAGTGGGAGACTCTCCATATGCTAACAGCAAATGGTGCCGGGGACTTGCTGATCTGGATCAGCCAGACTCTAATCTATTTACTTGCCCTGGGCTATATGCTCTACCGATTATCCCAGACGAATGGCACTTGGCGCCAACGAACGAGACAATGTTTTGCGCCGCACGATTGGCATCCGGTGAACGCGGACAATCGTCGGTTCTATGAGGAAATCATGGGCACATCCGAAATGCTTGTCATTGACAATGGCAACACCGCCTAATAACTGCATAGTGCCTACAAAAAAATACTTACTCATTTTAATTACATATACTGTACTTAAGCGAAGGACCTTGAACTCAGGTCGAACTGAACTCAATTGTGTGTAGAACAGCTGAAATATTTTAAATTTACACGCATCTAAAAACAATGAGCGCAAGTTTTTTAAATTAAATGTACTGACATTTTCCAAATCTAGTTATAGTGAACAATAAACTGGTGATATTTGTAGTTGCAAAAAAAAAAGAAATTAAAATGCAAGAGCTTTTATAAAATATATATTAAATTTCTAAGAAATGCTTGTTAGACTTTGATATTAAATAGTTTTAATAATAATTTTATTTTTATTAGCCCAAAAAAATGTTTTCGTATTCAGGTTAACAATTCGAACTACTGTCCTGCTTTCAGGTTATTTACTTGAGCCAACTTATTAGCCAAGACTCGAACCTAGGCTCGTCGCGTCGAGAACCTGGTCTTACAAATCGATTGACACAAGTTGAACCCTGGTATTCACAGAAAGTGGTTCAATTTAGTTTTTGGTTTGGTTATCTGTAATACAATTAATGTGGTTAAGGCTTTGGCTCATGTGTAAATAACAAATTTAATTTTCGGTTTCGAACCGGTTCGGTTAGAGCATTGAATATTTGCCATTCTAAAGCTAAAGTATTTTTAAACGATTCTCTTTGCTTTTTTGCATACTTTTTGGCATTACAAATATGTATATTTGGCACGCATTTAAGTCATTTCAACAAATGCCAATTGGATGTGCGATAAGCAATAAATAAAGCACATGATCAGCTTTACAGGGAAGCAGAAGTGCACACGTACTCTGTTTACACTGCAATAAATAAATACTTAGCTTTTGGAAAACACAAAGAAAAAAATAACAACTCTATATTGAAAATATAGTTTGGGTTTTCCTATTTTAAAATCTTATCTATACAATTTTTGGCTATATATTCGTTCACTTCTATATATTTGTTTACCCACAATATTTGCTTGAGTAAAATGGATTTGTTTAGGGCTAGTCTTTACTACGATTTATGTTAATTATATACACAAATTATATAGTACATGTTATCGTATGTATTTCGAATCATTACAATGTCATGTGCTGCGGTTTCGACGATGTGTTTTCAATACAAATATCAAATTTTGTTCAACTCATTTCTCTCAATGAACGCATTACATGTCAGCAGCTGAGAACTTGGCAATCTGTTGCTGTATTTATATAAACATATCTGTTGAGACAGCGGCCAGCGTTGATAATGAAAATAAGTAAAAATGCTCTAGCCTGACTGAAAGATACCCTGGACACAGCGCCCAGCTGATATTACAAACAAGATTTCTGCAGTCTGTGCTTCTTGAATGAAAAATGCCTTCTGAATAGCTTCCGTATTTGTGATCTGATCTGAAAAGCCTTGAATGTTGCAGCCAAACGGGCGTATATACCAAAGCACAAGGTGATCTTTTGGGGCAATGCAAAAAATGAAACATTCTGAGTGTGTGTATATTAAACGAGTGTCTACAGACAAAGTTTTGTGTAGCTAGCTTTTATAGTCCTCAAGTTATGCTTAGAAAATCATGTGTCCAAATCGATATTTATCGATATTTAGAAAAACTAGCTATACGAGCTCTAGCTTATGTAGTTTCCAAATAGAAGATGAACTGTTGATATATCGATATATACCCTATGTTTATATCGATGCTAACTGCTAACAATATACCCGTTTACAATAGCTGTAGGGTATAATAAATAAAAACAAAAAGTGTCTTTCCATTCCATGGATGCTATAGATGCTCTCGCAGGCCTCGCGTTCAGTCTGCCGGCATCGCTTCTTCTAATTAGAACATCAATTTAAAGTAAACGGGCGCGCGTTTTCATCGCTAAAAACGAAAACGAAAATAAAAATATAAACAAAAAAAAAAAGCATTAATTAAATTTCAGCTGCATTGCGACGTTGTTAATCGCGTTTTATTTATTTTTCTTGATTTTGAATAATATATTTTCTAATTGTTTTGCTTTATAAATAACCATTTTTGCGGCATATGTGATGCACCAGAGGCTGTGATTGAATTTATATAGCACAATATTGTTCTATATACTATACGATTACCGAATTTGTACTGTTGCCATGGTATACGAGACCTCATATGAGAGTGGCCGCAGGCCATTCAAACCTGACCTGGCTCGTGGCAAATGGGAAAAGCCAACGGATTTCATTTACGCCTGTTTTGGTCTCGCACTTAAATTGGATTTATTTATTGTTTCATATTGGTTCTATTTTGATATGGGCCGTAAGTATGTGTGCACGAGGTGTCAACTTGCAATCAAATGAAAAATTCATCTTAAATTTTGTCGCTGATAAGCCAATCAACAACAGATGAGATCAATGCATTGCATGTACAAACAGCGAGGGCTGTCTATTAAGTTAAGGAAATAGTTGACATTACTTGATATGAATATTTTGTACAAACAGTGAAAGAGGGAAAAAAAACCTTATGAAATAAACTACGAACAGTTTGCATCGGCTTTCCTTTTGTCCCATACTATTTTAAAGAAGTAGATTCTTTTCTTCGGAATTTATAATTCGATCTTTATGAAATTTCCATAGACTCAATATGGCATACTAAAGTGTGCATAGGCTCTACATTTTCAAGTTTCTTTGCTTATACATTTTCTAGGAAATGGGGGGAGGGTTTCCTAAATATGTGTGTCATACCAAATTTTGTGCATATAACTCTACTAATAAGTATCCACAGTACTTGATAAGACTTAAAAGACTGAACCTGTATGCACTTAAAAACAGCTGCATCCATTAGCAGCATTATATATCGTTCTGATCAGTATATATATATATATATATATATATTATCTGATTGGAAGTCAGCAGAGTAGCCCAAAAAGCGATTCAAGGGGCGTTTTTACACAAATAGTTTTCGCTATTTAAAACCTATTTAATTATAAGAGGTTCTAGTCGGGAGCTCCCGACTAGGGGATACTCTGAAACTCTTCTTCCAACATTCCAACATTAAATATATATATATATATATATATATGAAATCCTTGCGTTCATACAAACGGACGGACGGGCAGACAGACGGACATAGCTAGATCGACTCGGCTATTGATGCTGATCAAGAATATATATACATTATGGGGTCGGAGAAGCTTACTTCTGCCTGTTACATACATTTGGATTTTGCACAAATACAATATACCCTTATACCCATTTTTAATGGGTTCAGGGTATAAAAACAATTGTGATTGTGATTATAATATATGTATTTGGAATGATAGCATATGCACGCTCATTTTTCGACATTGTGGGGTTACAAAAAAATGACAGACAAACGAAACTTGATGCTTGATAATTTATTAAGCATTATTAAAATGAGTAACCCATTGCGATAAAATTGCTGATAGTTCGCAATTTGGGAGGCAGTTTTAAGAGGTTGATCAAAATTACAAATTACCTTAAGCCTGCCTGTACGTATACCAAGTCTTAAAGCTGCCAGCGAAACGATTGTTTCAAGATTAAAGATTGTTAAAGTGTGTCTAAAAATAAATATTACACATTTCTAAGCAAATGCTGACGACTCTTTCATAAAGCTTACTTATAGTTCACAATCTCTTCGATCAAGATCTATAAATTGTATATACAAAAAAAAAAAAACTGATCATTTTAGTATTCGGCATGTTGCCCTACTATATCTATATGGCCATATATCTGGTGCCGATTCTGGTCATACACTCATTTATGGGTCAATTCTCGAGCAGTGGCTTCATCTCCGCCTTTCGCGTCTCGCCCTTCTTCAAAGGTAGGTAGCATATATTAAATATCTGTTTGGCCTACAGTTATCTACTTCTACTAGGCATGGGCTACGTGAGTCTGGCTCTGAGTCTGACCAGTATGCTGTTCTATGGCATCTTTGCCATTGTCCCACTGATATTCATAATGCATTCCCTGCGTCCCACACTGCCCTGGAGTTGCGAAGGCTTTAAATCGGAGGAAAATGTATCAACTGTAAGTATATATTTTCTATATGTTCATAACATATCTCATTCAATATAGATGTATTAATTCCTGCACTTAAGATCTGTAATATGACGGACACACAAGTCCAAACGGTGCTGAGCAGCGAAAATGAATCGGATATCTATGAAATGACAGTGGTGCACGTGCCCTCCGTGCTTTTTTTCAGGTAAGTTGCACTCGAAGGTTATCAAATTATCAATAATTAGCACTAATCTAACTGTATTCCTGTAGACAGCACTTTGAGACATTAAGGAGTGATTCTTACATGGGAGAAAGTAACGACTATGAGTTATCCTGGCAAATTGCCGGCTTATCAGTCGTCATTTGGGCGATCATCACATTTATATTCTTGAAGTTCTCGGAAACAGCCAAGGTAATTTGTTAGCAATTATATATAATATAAATATGTAATACTTACGGCCTTTTGATACTGCAGTTTGGCAAACTGTTGCGCTGCATGATTCTGTCAACCTTGGCGCTTTTGCTGGTGTGTCTGGTGCGTTTCCTGTTTCTACCCGGCGCCTTGGATGGCATCACCCACTATGTGAAGCCGCGCATGGATTCGATGGTGGAAGGTGGGCTCTCCATGACGATTATCGTACTGCAGGCCTTTGGCTCCGGCTGGGGCAGCATCATGGCATTATCGAGCTTTAACAACTTCAAGACGAACATCATGAGCTATAGCTGGATAATTGCCTTCGGTCAGACACTTGTTTATATACTCTTTGGTTTGGTTACCTTTATGCTGGATCATTATTTTGAAAGTATGTTTTTAAATAATTTTTGTAATATTTTATTTAATTGTTTATTAGCAGCTATACTAAATCAGTGCTGCAAAAAGAAAAGAATATGCCTTTATGTCTTTATTTTTATTTCGGTTCGTGAACCTGGTTTTTGCTTAAGCCTAATCATAATTTTCTCTTTATATTTTTCTTTATAAAATCCTTTAGCCATGAAGTCCAGCAGCTTCAGTATGTATGTGGAGGTGAACTGGGCAGTGTATCTATCGAGTGCCAGTGCTCTGTCCACCCTGGAAGTGCCCAATTTATGGACCATCATCTACTATACCATGTTGCTGATGGCTTCCATAATTGTGATGGTTGGTGATTATCGTATGCCTCTGATTGGTCTAATGATATCATTTATTTTTCATTCTTTCCCAAACAGATCACGCAACTCTTTACGGTTTTCACCAGCCTGTTCGATGAGTTCGAGCTGCTGCGACATTATAAACAGCAGGTTATTGTTGGTGTGCTGTGCTTCTTGGCCAGTGCTTCGATCTTCTTTTGCACGAATGTAAGTATAATATATATATTTATAAATATACATATATATTAATAAATATATATATTTTAATATTTATATATACATATAAATATAAATATATATTTATATACCTTTTCCATATTTAACCCCACATTTTTTTGTTTTATCGATTATTTCTCGCCTTTTATCAATTACCATGAATTTTGATTTGTTTTTAAATTTTTACGCTTAAATTTAAGATTATTTCAATTAATTCCAATTTCTATTTCAATTTATATTTTTGTGTTTTTTTTTTTGTTTTTGTTATAATTTATTCTCATTCCCTTTCATTCATTCAATTTCCGTGCACTTCATTTCATTTCATTCCCTCCCAATTCAATCTATTCCATTTCATTACAATCTATTCATTCCATTCCATCTCATTCAATTTCGATCCCTTCCATTCTACATCATTACCTTTCATTTCATTCCAAACTATTGTATTGCTTTTCATTGCATGGCATTTTCCTCTATTTCATTTCATTCCACTCCAGCTCACTCCATTTTATTACGTTTTTATCCAATCCACTCCATTCCATTCTACTCCAATCCATTCCACTACATTCCTTTCCATTCCATTCCATTCTACTCCAATCCATTTCACTCCATTCCATTTCATTCCATTCTACTCCAATCCATTGTAATCCATTCCATTCTACTCCCATCCACTCCACTCCATCCCACTCCATTCCATTCCATTTCATTTAAATCCATTCCATCCTGATTTCATTACATTTAATATTTTTTTTTTCATCCCGATTCTCACATATACCTTTTAATTCTTCTCTTTAACAGCATGGAGTTCTGTACTTCTCGGCGTTATCCTTGGATGCCATTATGATCCATAGCGTTATGCACTTGCTCCTCCTGCTGGCGGTGCTTTGGGTCTATGGACGTGAGCGATTCCAGCGCGATATAGAATTCATGATTGGACAGCCATTCGCCTCGTGGAAGATATTCATATTGCGCTTTATAGCACCGCTTTTTCTGTTGTATACCTTGGTTTGTATATGATACACATTCTCCTCTGATGAGATCATAAATATATTTCTTGGCTTTCAGCTACTTGGGGTGTTCATTTCATCCATGGAACATGCGTTCAGTTCCTCCGTTATGTTGCACATAAGTCTGATTCTGGTGCTGGTGCCCATGCTCTTTATACCGGGCTATGGCGTGTTTATAATGTGCCAGAATACGGGCGGATTTTGCGATAGGTTCAGGCGCGCCTGTCGTCCCAACGATTGGTATCCCACAGAAATGGAGGACCGCCAGCAATATGAGGAGGTTGTGGGCAATGCTGATATTACCCATCAGCTCTATGAGGTCACCGAGGAGGTGAACTAATGTTGATGAGCTTTGAGATTTGTTAAAGGTTTGTGCCCTGCGATATTCCGTATACATATAATAAAAAGAATATTTTGTCAAATGTTTTAAAATAATGAATTGAATTTGAGCAGAATCCATTCTTAGTAGCTTAGGAATTATTATGATTATTTTTTAACCACCGGATCCGGCTCGACATCCGTTTCGGACATAAATGCCGGAAGTCGCCGTTGTCTTCTGAAGGCTTCGTATTCGGCACGATCTTCTGGATCGGCTGGTGTCCAATCAAAGGGCCTTAAGCGCTTTTTCAAACTATCGCGCAAGGTTTCGCGTTTTCGGATCATAATGTAGAACACATAGAGCGGTATCCACATAACCGAGGACAGAAAACTTAACCAACCCAGCATAACGGCCCAATAAGGATATTCAATCCCATTGTATGTAATTTGCCGCGTAAATATGATGCTTGTTAGCAGGATAAACTATATTAAAATATATTAGGGGATCAAAACTAGTTGAATTGAACTGTAAATACGGTCTTACGATCAGTACGATTGGACATATATACTTCCAGGATATCTTCCAAAAGAGGCTGGGCCGCTGACCCAACATGAACTCAATATCTGACATGAAATTGTCAATGCCATAGATATACGCCACCATAATGACCTCCACCAGGCAAATGACAATTATTGATATGGCCGACGAGTACCAGTCGAACAATTGCAATATATACATACCAGCCTGCAACATAAGTTTGGGTATTAATCGGTTCCATGCACTACGCAATCACACATATGCTTACATTGGTGCACATTATGGACGACAGGGAGAAGAATAATATGCATAACATTAAGCTAACCCACATTTTATAGTTACGCAGCGCATCAATCTCATCCAACATTGATGAGGTAATGGACTCCAGTTGAACAAACTAAAGAAGAGTATTATCAAAAATAGGAGAGTCGAGTTCGGCATGCCTGAAACATGTATACCCTTGCATGGTTGTATGAATTAATTCGACTTTTAATAGATTTTTAGTGAGACTATGATATAAGTAGCCGATGTTGATGATCATATATATATATATCATATATAGTTAATTTATTTTGTCTAAGAAGTTCATTTTATAGTTGCTCGATGTTGATAATATTTTGTGTAGAGCTTGGTAGAATTCGTTAAGAATAAGTTTGGTGAAGATATATTGCATGAGCATAAAGTTTTTCACAAAAGATTTTGATATCTGATGGATCGTTTCTGTTTATGCAAGGAGTGTAGTATAAAAAATAATAAGAGAGAGGTTGAGAGGCTAGTTTCCATATAAACAGACAGATAGAAATGGATACATCAGCTCAGCTGCTGATACTGACCAAGAACACATTTACTTTTACCACCTGACAAAATGCCAACACACCCCTTTTGCAAGGGTATACAAAATACTTAAGCATATATGATATAAATGTCGCATACCCACCACACTATTAATACCCAAGAGGAACAGCATGATAAAGAACATGATGGCCCAGAGCTGTGGCACGGGCAACATGGCAATCGCCTCTGGATAGGTAACAAACGCCAGTCCAGCGCCCGAGGTGGCAACTATGGCCACGGGTATGCCCGATCGGTCTGGAAGTAGACCAAGCTGAGTTATCGATAAATGTGTGTGGATGTCGTCGACTCACTCGATAGAAAGCCCAAAACGGAGAAGACTACAATGCCGGCATAGATGCTTGTAAACACGTTGACCGAAACAACTAAAAAGGAATCGAATTTGGCTTTGTTGCGAAAATTATTGAAGCTGGCCATGTTGACAAGGCCGCCCCAGCCGGGGCCGAGGCCGAAAAACATCTGTATGGCCGCATCGGCCCAGACTTTCAGGTCAAGCAGACGATTCCATTCTGGATACAGGAAAAATTTGATGCCATTTGAGGCGCCGGGCAATGTTACTCCGCGAACAAATAGTATGGTTAGCAATAAGTAGGGAAACGGGGCCGTAAAGTAGGAAACTTTGCCCACCTGTTCAGATGTGTTTTCTGTGTGTATATTCAATGTTATTGAAAACATATCGAAATCTTACCGATTTAATGCCCTTCAACACACACAGAAAAATGAGCACCCAGGTGATAAATAAGCTGAGAAACTGTTCCCAAACCATGCCACCGAGATGGGCAATGTTATCCGAAATTCGCAAGACTTCCAGGCTGAAAAGATAAAATGCTGTCTCGATAAAGACATCGATAATTTATCGATGAACACAGCTCAACCTACTGAAAGAACTCATCTGCCGATGTGGCGGCGCGACCTTCAACATGTTGCAACTAAATGGAGAACAAAATGAAGAATTTAGGAGCTCATATGTAGTTGTATTTGGCTGGGGGATGGACTCACTAACATTGTCAACGGTGGTGCAATTGGGTGAGTTCCATGGATGATGGCAGTCGATCCATGGCACAGTCTTCCAGAAACAATAATACAACATGCGCACCGGATATGATATGATAACCGAATAGTAGCATACACAATACAGATTTACAATAACCATGCAAATGCCGGTGCCCTTCAGTAAGGGCACCAATCGAAACATTCCCGTGCAGCCAGTGCCCGAGAATTGGCCAATCATCACCTCCATATAGAACAACGGAATGCCGCATAGAATAACCATCAGCATGTACGGTACCAAGAATGCACCTAGAAGAAAAGTTTTGTGAAAAATGTATGTGCTCGAGTCGAGGATTTGAACCAGCAGCTTTTAATTTTACAGTTTTCGTGCAGGAATATTATTGTTAAAAATCAAAAATTATTAAGTAAATAAATGAAAATCGTACAAATATTATTTGCTTCAAGCCGGGTTCGAACCCATGATGCGGACAATTGAATTTTATGAATTTGTATTGCAAGCGCAAGCGCTGTCAGGGCCAAGGAATTATTGTGCAACCAGAGTCGATGATAAAGGATTAAGGGAAAAGCAAATGTGAACAAAATATTAGATCCTTCGAGCCGGATTTGAACCAGCGACCTATGGATTTCAACATATCGCGATTCAATAAACTGATGGTACAAGAGCAAGCGCTGTCTAGGCCGCGGTATTGTTTGGTCTAGAGTCCTGCCACTGCTCGCAACACCAAGCTTCGAGAAAACTCTACAGTCCATCGCTCTACCAACTGAGCTATCGAAGGCACTCGCTGCCCGCCGACAAAGCGCCAGCAAAAGCCACCACGCGCAGCGCACACCAGCTTTCACTCAAAAAAGCTACAGCCAATTGCCGATGCTTAAAATAGACACTGCACTCACTGTGCACACCAACACACCAATACACACACACGGACACACACACATATGCTTGGCTGTGTGACGTCAGAGCATGCGCTATTTTTGGAACAGCCCGGCCACGAGCAAAGTTGAGCGAATTGAGCACAATAACTCATTAAAATGCTCACTCATCTTCAATTACTGGAACAAGAAGAGTGCACTTGTCGGCAGTGCCCGACTGGCGGCTACCCTGCATAACTACAGCAATCGCCGCCAGCTTAGCACTTCCTAGCTAAGCTGCACATTTTGGAAATGTTTAAATTAAATCTTGAATAACTTTTGTGTATATAGTTCGAATGCTACGAAAATGGCATATTATATATATATATATGTATATATTTAAAAATGGTCGTCACATGTGCCTATATACCAAATATATTTGTTCTTAGTATTATAATTGTATCGCTTCGATTCTTGTTGTATTTTCGACTATCGATTTGTGGAGAAAACACTTATAGAGTTATCGAAAATAAAGAAATAAACATTTTCTAAGTATAACACGTGTATATATAAGCTGTCTTGACCTAATTGCAATATACCCAGTCTTTTAATGGTTGCAGAGTATGAGTCGCAGTTGGTGGTACGTGGAATAGGAGGTGAGGGATGGAGAGAGGCTACTTACCGCCGCCGCTGCGGTAACAGAGGTAGGGAAAACGCCAGACATTGCCAATGCCAATGGCATAGCCAATGAGCGTAAGTATAAATTCAGTTTTGGAAGACCATTGGCCCCGATTTGCATCGCGATTGATCCTTTTCTCCTTACGTAGTCGCGGTGGTAAATTATTTTCCTTCGGTTGCATTCCAGGTAAACAATTTTAATTAAGGTTCGCAAATTTAAGCATTTTTTTTATTGATAACAAAATTAAAATTAAAATCAAAGTACAACACAAAAATTAAACATAGACTTGAAAAAATAAAAATATAGCTCGCATAGTGAACTCTATTGTAAGGCCTGCTAAGTCTGAATTTCTTGGAGGTATTTAAGCTATTTGAGGCTTCCAATGTTAGGGTTATACGATAAATATGATTCAGGAAGTTCAATCAAGACGTTATTTTTAATTTTTTCTGCTAGAATTTAGCTTCCTGAATTGCCTTGAGCATTGACTCTCCCAGTAGCTATTTTTCCAAAATCGATAATTGTTGATTTTCCAGTCCCGGCATATCTCGCAGATTTCATGCTCTTAAAATATCCAATAAGGCTTGTAAGTTATTTTAGTTTGATTATATTCGGAACTGGTTAAATAATTTTCGATTTCTTTTAATTTTCTTAAAATCGATAAATATCGATTTCCAACTTTCGCATTTATAAGAGCGATTCAGGCCATGCTTGGCATATGGCATGCAGGGATAAATAGCCGCCCGTTTTCATGCCTCATTCTTTCTCTAATTAATATTCATATATATATATAACACTTTCTTCTGATTGAATGACTGAGTGATTGTTGATAATATTATGATATCTTACAATGAAGTTACGCGTTTTTACGTTTCCGCCCGCAAGTGTGGAAAAAACGCGGAAGCTTTGATAGGAAACTTTTGTTATGAATCTTCTGGATTTAAATTTCTTTGTATAATATAATTTAGAGCTTAAGATTTAAATTTTCTACGGGTTTTGCAGCTTGTTATGAGATATAGTTTTTTAAATGAAGTTGAACTCAAATTGTTGCAATATTTTATAAATGAAAAAAACACTTGCAGTTTAGTTTTTAGTAAATGTTAACTGTTTTTGTTTTCTTTATTGGCAACTTGTAGCATCGTTAAAATTAATTGGTTTTAGTTCACATTTCTTCTAGGGCTAGCTTATTAATTAGTTGAGTGGTTTTTTGTTAAAGCTTCCGTTTATCGCGTTGCTGGCTCCAGCTAGATGGGAGCACGTCCCCTATCCCACAACTGCTACTCTAGCCTCGCAGCTGCAGGACAACTGCCAGTGCCAGCAGCAGCATAGCTATTGGCCTCCGGCTGCCAGCTGAACTGTGACCTGCTGTGGCCGTGTAATCGTCGGGACGATGGGATTCCCGTTTCTCGGCCTTCTCGCAGATGTCGCCACAATTCGCATGCTCACAAATGTCACAGATGTTGGACTTGGGCGCCCGATAGAACTGACGAGCGCGACGAGCTGAATAGAAGATGGATTAGATGTGGGGCAGGACATATAATTTTCCAGACCTACCGCTATCGTAGTAGTCATACATGACCACGGGCACGGGTCGATGCTTGGTGACCTTCACCGTTTTATAGGCATGCAGCGTGGGGCACACCTCACGTCTGTCCAGATAGTCAAAGTAGATAATGACTTTGGTGTTGCGCTGTTGGGTCTCGACCTTTTTGATGCGCTCGCTGGACTCCAGCGTGGGCAGCGTATCGGTGTCCACGACAAAGCCACTGGGCAGCTGAACCTCCATGACAGCCATGTTGGAGCGTTCGGCATCGCCGGGCACGGACACAAAACTGGCGCAGGCTGAGAGATGCAGATAGTCCGCATGGGAATTGCGATTGACGGTGGGATCCAGCACAAATCTTGGCCAGGCGCTGGTCACGTTCGTATTGTATTTGTAGCTAACCTGAGCGAGGGCCAGGCCACGTCCCGTCGCCGAGACGCTCACGTTCTTAATATTGCTGGGCAGCTGTAGGAGATGGGAATGAAATTATCAAATTGGTCTGGATGAGTCTTGGACTTGGTTTACCTCCACACTCTGCAGTGCCAGCGAATTCTCCGCATTGACATTCAGTATGGTCTCGGCGCCTTCGCCATAATGGAAGCCCAACTGCACATTGTTGCCCTGGCTGGAGAAGCGTTCGGCGAACATGAGCAACGCCTGCAGACCCACCACCGTGTCCTGTGAGCCGACAAATCCACCAAATGCATTACGCTGATCCATCAGCCAATTGAGCACGGGCAGCGCATCGCCCACCAGATTATTCTCGAGCAAGGCCAGCGCTCCATATGCAGAGATCTCGATGTTGACGCTCCGTGTGGCATTATACCAGGGCGATTGCTGTTCCGTTGATGGCGCCGTCTTGTTCCACCATTTACGACCATTCGCATTCATGGCCAGCGAGTCGAGACGCTGCAGGAATGCGGCCTTGGCATTGTGATTGGCCTTCGAGAGCACATAGGTGCCCAGCGCCATGGCATGCAGATTGCTGGCCGTGTCCAGGCCTCGGGTGATAAAGTCCAGCGCCTTATTGATGTTGTTGCGGTACTCGGCATGCAGATCCTTAAATGCATTCAACATAGAGCTTTCTAAGGAATTTCATCTTGTCTTCCACTTACCACATTCTCCATCATGGCCAGCGTCACAAAGGCGGTGAGACTTATGCCCCCATCGTCGAACTGCTCAAAGATATCGCCGTGCTCCTCGTAGCCTCCATTGCTGGACTGTACGCTGGCCAGATAGGCCAAGGCGCTCTGCAGCACATGGTCATCCACTTGAATGTAGGGCGTCGCCTGGCGCAACGATCTGGCCACATAGGCTGTCAGCCACGTTGAGCTCTGCTTGGCAGACAGTCCAAAAGCGCTAAAGGCGCCATTCTCGTGGCGATAGTAGAGCAGACGTTGATAGCCCACAGCCAAGTTCTTGGTGGCGCTGAGCTCCAACTCTGGAGTCAGTTGACGCAAGCGCTGCAAGAGATTAGGTTGAAGATAGCAATAATTTATTTGATTGACTGATGAAATGGTTGATTGACTGATAGAATCATTGATTACCTTATTGACTGACTGACTGAATAATTGGCTGGCTGGATGACTAACTGACTAATTAGGTCTTTGGCTGGATAACAGTTTAACTGACTGGCTGGTGCACTGACTAATTATGTAGCTAAATGACTAAGTGATTGACTGATTGGTTGGCTGATTGAATGATGCTCGAGTGATTGAGTGACTGACCGATTGACTGAGTGATCTTATTTGCGACTCTCCACACATACAAGTAATATTTGCATTTTGTTTTGTACATATAATCATTTTCTAACTTACGCCCAAATAACGCAGCACCATCAGATTCGGCACAAAGTTGACCATCGTCTGCTCGCCACAGCCCGTGGGCAGTTGGATGAGTTGGTGTAGATTGCCCACAATGCTGCCCACCAGATCACCCACAGCACTGACCTCAATGCTCGTTGAGTCGGGTATAGCATTCCGCGGCACTTTAATGGTAACATTCTGTTTGCGCTGCGCACTGGAATTTAACTCGAAGAGGAAACCCCGATTCACCCGCTCCGTGGCACCGGGATGCTCCACTAGCAGCGTACGTTCTACAGTGTCGCCAGCTTGCGAGGTGGTTGCCACAGCCTTGACGGGCAGGGCGCCCACACGGCGAGGCGTCACAATGAATGAGATGGAGCGGGCCGACTTGCCCGGTACTTGGATGGTGCGACGACTGTAGAGTTCCAGTTCTGTAAGGAAATCGAAAACAAGAAATTAACACTATTTGTCCAAGTAACATTCCAGGAACTTGCACGCACTGGGCTTATTGGCTTGCTTGGTGTCCAGCTGGGGAAAATCAAAGTCCTGCGCAGTATTGTAGAAGGTCACGTCGACGCTCAGATCGCTGTCCCTGTTATTGTGCACCACAAATGGCAAGGCAATGAGCTCATCTGAAAGGGGTACGAGCATGAGTTATTATATTCCAACATTCGCATCTCACTATCCACCTTTGCGTATGGAATAGGGCAGCTCGGTGGCTATGTAGAATTCCTTGTAGGCCTCCAGCTTGCTGTTGGGCGCATTCAGACCCAGGCCATTAACAGGATCTAGAGTAAAGGCGGTCAGATGCCAAGAGGTCATATCGCTCGGAATGCGTCGATGTATGGTATTGCGACCATCGCTGCTCGCCGAGAGGTTGAGGAAAAGCCACGTGTCCGCCGGATCACGCATGACATGCACACGAGGATTATGCCAATAGGGCTTGGGTGTATAGGAGAAGGCATAACGTCCCTTGCCGGGCGGCAATGTGTTCACCTCAATCTTATGCGCGGGCCCGATATCAGTCTTGCGCACAGCTGTCAACTTGTCCTCCTCCATTGTGCTGGAGCTATCGCGACCTATGGCTGGTGTCGTCTCTGCCTCTGTAAGAATACCCCACTTTAATATATATAAAGCTTGTAAAATAGTTTGCTTACCCTTTTCCACAAAGTAATTCGTATTGGACATGGTTATAACACCGGACTCCTTTCCGGGTGAGCCCACGGGCGTGTTGACGTCGCTGAGCTCATAGGCATAAAGGGCATCCATTAGACGTTCGTGTGTTAGATCATGGCCTAGACAGAGTTTCAGATAGGTTAGCTGTCTTGTGGGTTGCTTAGAGTAGTTTGACCTACCGCTGCGCAGTGCTGCCGCATTTTGATCGACAACCATGAGACCAACATAGGAGTAGGGCTTGGTGCTGATGCCTATGTCTATATCCTGACCAGGTGGTGCTCGGATGGGTGCTTCAATTTGTACCTAAGGGAAGAGATTTAGTTATCCCAGCTTGCCTCAAGTAAGGTCTACGTACCGCATTTAATAGATTCTCCTCGAATTGTATAATCTGCTCGTCGTAGACGAACTCTCCATTGACTATCATATAGACGAGCAGCTTGGCGCGTGGCATCATGGCAAACGAAGCCAGAAATTTAATGGTATGATAGTTATTATCAGCCACCTGCAGAAAGATTAATTGAATTTTGTATTTCGTCCAGATGCAGGCACTTTTTATCACTTACATCCACAGTGCGCGTGAGAATTATGTCGCCGCGTCCCACAATCTGATACATAAAGTATTTCATTGGCTCATTGGAACGCACCGCAACAGCAATTTCCTGATTAACCATGGGTCTAAAAAAATGAATATTTATTAGCTCCAGTAGAAAATAGTATCTAGTATCTAGCTTTGCTAATGTCTGAGTGTCGAACTAGAAAGCCACCGGTCGATGGTTCAAACTCGAAAGCGATTTTTAATAACTTACTTATCATTGAGCACCTTGGCGGTTATGTAGTTCTTGCTGTGTAAATGCTTGCGCGGCACCTTGCCCACGTCGCTGACAACGCCCAAATAGTCGACAATTATGGAATGGTACTCATCGCGATCACCCAGAGGCACGGTGAACTTCATCTTGAACTCGCCACGTCCATCCAGGCTGTAAACCGTACGATTGTACATTTCACTGCTGCCATAAACGTTTGTCAAATAGGCGGTGATCTCCGGATTGAAATCCCTTAATTGGCTGCCATCATTGCGAAGAATGCGTGCCTATAAGGAAGTTAATATAAGTATATCATAATAAAATTCTAATTTCCAGAGGAAAAGTTAAGTACTTACAGTGGCTTCAAAGGGAACGCCTGGTATATAATAGCTGGGCAGCTTGATGGCCTCCACGCGAAAGTGATTGAGATAGAGTGTAAGCACCGTGGAATAGTTTTGCACCGAGCCCGTGGAGCGCTCCTCGACCAGGGCATCCAATAGATACTGACGCTCGTAGTCCTGCTTCAGATGCAGCTCCTGCTCAATGTCAAACTCAAAGTAGGCGCTGCCATCGATGGGCACCACTTTGCGTGTTATCAGATCATTGACAAACGGCTGCAGTGAGCCAAAGAACGTGGGATAAATGGAGAGCGTGGCCTCGCCCACAATGGGCTGACCAAAGGCGTAGCTGTAAGAGAAGTAAAGCCATAAATATGTGGGCGACCAAGAGATGCTCTGAAAAACTAGTTATCGAAATATTTAGATTAACTGTTCCATATTTATTATATATATATATATAAACTCCCAGACAAGCTAAAGAATGGCAGCTGAAATTATGAATTGAATTTATCGATTGTTTCGGTATTTATCGATTTCGAGTAAATTTTGAAGCATTTTGATTTTAAGAAATCATTAATCATGGCCCGCTTTTAAACCTATTTTTACTTGAAAACCGGGCACTTACTGCGCCTTCACTGTGGCCGCAATTTTACCATCCTTGTAGATGGCCTGTCGCGGCGTCTCAATGTCCACCACAAACTTGGGCAATATGTGATCCAAGATCTCAAAGGTTTGCCGATGCTGCTGCTCGGCGACATCGACAACAATGGACCAGTCGCCAAATCGTGGATAGTCCGACAATTGCAGCTCATTGGAGTAGATGGCATTCGTGAGACGTATATCCTTATAGCTTCTGATGATATTGTTGCCCGAATCCCGGATCTCAACATGGACGCGTCCGTAGCCGCGGGCGGGCTTTAGATTCGCATCGAGCACCAATATGCGATAGTGCACCAGATCTCCCGGCTTATATATGCTCTTGTCAGTTTGCACCAGCACCGTGTGCTGCTTGGGCTCAAAATGCAGCTGCGTCTCGTTCGTGAAGATTATGCCGCTCAGGCCTTCCGCTGTCAGCCGATAGCGATCAGCCTTAAGTGCCGGCAACTGTGTGAAAATTCAAAGACAAAAAAAAGGTTTTTCTAATAATCGATTTAATGAGTTTTAAAATCTGGCTCGGAGTTCACCTCAAAGTGCAACAGCTGGGTTGAATAGGGCCTCAGCTCGACGGTCTTGAAATCGGTGTACGTACTGCTCAGTATGCCCACCTTAACTCTGGCGGGCTCCGCCGCCTTGTGTATGCTCACAGCCACATGGTACTGTGAGTTGGGTCTCACTGTATTGGGGGCAATTATGGAATAGAGGCTGAAAAACCAAAAATTAATATAATACAAATGAAATACTCTTGCAGTCATATATAGCAGATGTAAGATATGTTTGATTAATATCTGAGAAATAAGGCAAGGTTCTTCTCTCCCATAAAAAAACTATAGTTAGACTATTTAGTACAATGTTTGTCAACATAATGCGTTTGGGATAATAATATAACAATAATTGAAGAAATTGAATGTTGTACATGCAAAAATTCCCTATGGAACCCTATTCTGATCTTATACTTGAAATAAATAGAATAACAACTTAATTTTGTAAACTATCCATTCTAAACGATTTTAAGGAAAAGGTTCTTAAGTAATGACAATTTCTGCTGGATTTGAACCAGCGACTTTACGTTTGCTAGTTCAACTTCTAAATAATTTTCAAAGAAACTATGAGAGTTTTCTCCCATTCTAGTGCTCACTTCCATCATCCAAAAAGAATCTTCTCTTCAAGCTTCAGCTTCCCAGCTTTCAGTCAGTCGGTCATGACAAACACCTTTATGTAGCTAAACAAGCGCGACTTCTCCTATGCGTGACACACTTGATGATAAAAACAATAGCACCCATCTTGGCAAGGGCAACACTACAAAATTGTTGTACTTCATTCAGCAAAGCTCAAAGAAACGAAGACAATGTTCCGCAAGCGTAATACACCTATGAATGTGGCTAAAATGGTAACTGAATCTGTAGTTATTTTCGGTTTTTCTTCTATTCATTCACGCGCTTAACGGAAGACACACTTAAACAATACCCGGGGTAATGTACTTTGTCTCGAGTTCGAGTTCGGTACGGGTCAGCGTGTGGAGAGACCGCGTTTCGGTTTCTGTTTCGGTTTGATTTATGTCGGAAATGGCATAGAGCTCATCGGGGGCGTTGCGGCCAGCGACAATAACTACAAATATATATATTTTTTGTGGTTTTGCTACAACTTCAACTGTTCGACATTGCTTGAAGAATTTGTAATGACAAAGTATTATGGCCAACAATTGCAGCTGCCGTCAGATGACTCAAGCTTAGAAAACTTATTTTATGTAAAAATTTTGCATATCATTTACTTTTTATTTGCTCTGAAAGCTTTTGTAATTAGCTCGGGACTGATTAATAATAGTACTCTGCTATATATTTGGCATTTTTACAAACTAACTTTTTAATATACTATTTAATATTTATTTAGAAATATTCGGGGTAGAGTGAGACAGAAATTTTTGGCGCTATGTGCAGGGTATCTCGTAGTCCTGCACTCCCGATTGGAAATTTTTGTTTCTTGTTAAAGGAATTTTACAAGCTAAATACTTTCAGCTATTAATGTGTTTGCCAAATTTGCAATAATTTCGTATAATATGCTCATATGTCTATTTATAGTGTATGCCAAATTCGGTGCGTCGCTTACATAACTTAGCTTGGGAGTGTGTTTGTTTTTGGTGCTGCGTCTTGTGCTTGTTTTGGCTTTGACGTTCACAAAGTAAAGAGAGTATATTGATTTTATGCAATGAACTTTTTCCGAGAAGCTAGTCACGCCCACCAGAAATCTAGTCTGTCCAAATTCGTATGAAGAATTTTAAGATGAGTTAGTTAGGGATCCCAACATAGCCGATAAAACGTTCACTGGAGAGTTATTTGAAAGATCGATAAGAAAATCGACAAGACGATCGCTGATAAGTTCCTTTAAAAAACGATTAAAATTCGACAAAACGATAACTCTTATTGTGCTTGCCACATATTTATATCCAGAGTGAACAAGTGAGGAATCAAGAAAACCTAGGGACTTTCTTAAAAAATCGATTAAAATTAGGAAAAATCGATAACTCCTGATAATCTTGTTGGGTGGCGTGTTCTTAAAATGTGAAGGGGTGTAACCCAGTCAGTTCTGCCTGACTACAAAATGTTTCCTTATTTTTGTTGCCTTTCCACTAATTTGTTGGACGCTAGTGGGACTGAGAGTTTATTTTTGTCTTAACATCTCTTTTCACTTAGCTTGCGAAATTTATAGACCTGGCTAACTGTGTCGTGTTGTCGGCCTGTTTTGTTGTTTTTGGCGTAATTCACAGTTTCTGGTTGTTCTAATTTCAATTGCTGTTTGGCCGCCGCTTAACCTGTTCCCACATTTTCTTTTGTGTTTATGTCACGTTTTGTTGGGCGCACAAAACAGGTTCCTTCAGCAGCGCTCCGCCCAAATGGCCAAAAACAATTTCGCTTTTTTAGTATTTGTTTTAGTTTTTATTTTTATATCTCTCCTTTTCCAAATTGGCCACAAAATGCAGTCGGAGAGGTCCCGCTTGATTGCGTCGTGTTGGGCTTGGTTTGTGTGTTAAATGTCGGCTGATATCAGCTTGATTAAGTGTATATAATATGAGTGTATATATAACATGTACAATTATTCATATAGTTGCCTTGAGCTGCACCCTATATGGTCAGAGTATGAGCCGGAATGATCGGTTGGCCAACACTCATGGTTGGGCAATAATTGAACTTAAGCCGTATTTGGAACAAGAGAGTGTAACAATTGGCAAAACACTTGAAGGCTCAAAGCGGCAAGAAAGAAGCTAACGCCAACGTCGTGTCCAACTACAAATCAATCAGAATTCTGCGAATCTTAATAAACAACCAGATAAACAGCTATGGCAAGACGAATGTTGAATACCCTTGTCGACATATGGAGATTCTCCAGTTATGCAAAGAAAAGTTTAAAGCTCGCAATCTCAGATTTCGAAAGATTCTTTCTTTGGCTAAGATTAGTTAAGACTAAGCTTATACATGTGTAGCATGGTAGAACTTATACATGCTTAGCTTTTCGTGATAAGCCGCAACAGCGTCTTATAGAAGAACATAATGTTCGACCGATAGTTCCAATGGCAGCTATATGATAAGATGGTTTGATGCAAGTAAGATATAACTCATATGTAAGAAGCTTAGTTATATTAATTAATGTCGTGTTGGGCTCAGTTATCTTGATAAGCACAACAATTTTGTATGCAAGAAGTTTATGTCAACCGACCATTCCTGTGTCAGCTGTATCATATAGTAATCCGATGTCGTCGGAAATATATAAATGCCCATAAAAACAGAGAGGAAAACAGACAGATTTCTATAGACTCGGCTGTTGCTGCTGATCAAGAGTATATATATATAATTGACAGCTTTGGAAATGTCTTCTTCTCTTAAAACAAGACTAAATACCCTCTGAACAACACTCGTGCATTCATTTGCCTTCTCAACTGGTCAGTTTGACGAGTCGAGTCAAGGTGAGCCATCGGAAATCAGACAGTAAATATGCGTATTTGTTGTATGTCAACTGGCAGCAGCAGCAGCCGGTTGGCTCGCATTTTAAATACACGTTAAATTTGTAATTGTCATACTTAATTGGTCAGCTAGCTCGAATGCAACGAGCCACTCGAATCGAGTGTGAATCCTCAAATAGGCATTTGTGAGCATGGACAACGCGTCACATTGCATCACCCTGGTGTCTGAGTGAAATGCGTAGGTCGTCTGAAATCTTGCCAATCTCAGCTTAACTTTATTTTATTTTTATTTCATTTCATTTTTGCTTTATTTATTGCACATAAAACTGGATAGAACAGTTAACACGCGTGGGCCGAAGATTTAATACCCTTGCACGCATGCGTGAGACGTGGGTTTTAGTTATATAATCAGCAGCTTGTTAGGGTATAAACGCAGACTGCTTACTTTTAGGCTAGTTAGGTTTATTAGAAGATTCATGAGTAAGCAGCCAAGATTAATGTGCCAGGTATAAAGCATATGCCAAGTATTTAAATACACAGAAGTTTCAACAAGGCATCTAGACTGAGTCCTTAGTTAATCTAGCTATAGCTGCGCTTCTGGGGTGTATTTTCTACAATGCGTTACACAGTTCATGACATAGTTATGACACCCGCTGGCAGAGTATAACAAGCTAAACATGTGTAATAAGGCATATTTGTTCTCGTTCAACAAGAGCAGATGAGTCAACATTTTTAAACTAGAGTCAACAAAATTGTTGAAATGTGATTCACAGACTGAGAATAACTATTAAGCTGTAGATACCCTGCATTTGTGATAAAGCAAAAAAAACTCTTCGCAATTTACAAACGTTTTAATGCTTGTCAATTGAAACTAATTAAACATTATGTTGCACACAAATGTTGTGCTGGGCATCTGCGAAGCCAAACCCCCCGTCCTGCACCTAAGTCTAGGAAGCTGTGTTCATTTCATTATTCAATGTTAATTTGCTTGATTACAAACTTGTAAATTATATGGCAGAGGTTGGTTAATGAGCGTCTGAGTTGCCGGCATTTGCGGCTGCGTGTTTCAAGCAAATAAATTCGAGTTCGTTGCTTAAGTCTTTTGTTTTTTTCCCATCTTTTTTTTTGGAGATTTCGACTCGTTTAAGTAGCGTGTGATGTCATTTCATTTTATATTATTTAGTGTGCAACGTATTTGTCACACTCATTGTCAGCTATCTATACATAATAAGTGTGGGAGTCTAAGCAGGCATGCAGGCATGTGTTTGTGTGTGTGTGTGTGAGGTTGTTGTTGTGCTTTATTTACTAACCCCTGAGCAGCTGTCAGCGTTGGCAGCACAAAAAGTAGACAGCTTGTGAGCGCGAGCACAAAGTTGACGCATTGCGCGCACATTTTTAGCATTATTTATATTCTATTTATTTAATTTTTAATCATTAATTATTGCACTCATAAGCTTTTAATATTGTATCTTAGCACATATCACATAGTACACAAAATTCGCATTCGTTTTAATTCGGGTTTTTGTTTTTGTCTTTCCGTGTGGGCAGTCGACAATTTTGCACCGCTCGCACCGCTCGTCCCGCCACTAACTTGGCCCAAAGCTTGATTTGGCCTGATGTTGTTGTTGTTGTTGATTTTTGTTGCTTCACTTGTTCAACCAGCACCAGACGCTCGAGATTCGCGATTGCGCCAACGGCCAAGCTCACGTTTTTTTTCCTTATTTTTTTTTTCTTTTGTTTTTGTTTCACTTTCGTTTCGGAGCGCTTCCACCTGTTGCCCGTTCGTAAGCTTGTTTTCAACTGATTTTTCGGCTAACGCTTTCGGCTTGCATTAGCCACATTTCAACCTGCCAGCTGAGCTTTGGCTGGGCTGGCAGAGCTTATAGCACTTTGTGGTTGTTGTCTTCGCTGACGGTCCAGCCTTAAAACGCGTAGGGGTTGGGCTGTCCACGCTAAAATCTTAACAACATTTAATTTTTTTTAAAAAATAAGCGAATTACTAAGAAATTGTATTGTTCGATGCTTAATAACAAGAATGTTTTCAATTGAGATATATGCTATTGTTTAATTTTTAAATTCGTAAAATATTATTGTTTTTTTATTTTTATTTATTAATAATGTAAATTAATTTTGGGTCGATAGCTATTTTTGTAATACCCTCTTGGACTCTCTCGCTCTAATAATATTAGACAGAGCTAGCTGTCTGAACTCGAGGTTTGTGTCTCTGCTAAACTCTGAACTAGCTTACAAGCGCTTATGTAAGTTAAAGTGTTGCCAGACCTCAGTAAAAGGTAGGAAATGTTGATTAGTACGTCAAAGGCCCGCTACAGGTGTGCAAAGTCAGATGTATTTGGTTTAGCTTAGAGCAAAATTAAAAAACAAAGAATTTAATTTATAAAATACTTAATTGAGTGTGTGAGTAAAAAGATGCCTGGAACGGGCTGAATTGGAACAGAGCTAGAAAGTCGCTTGGCATTCACTTCGTATTTCAATATTTTTGCCATGTTCTTTATGTTAACTTTCCCCCAATTACAATTAGCAATTGCTCCTTTTTTTCCAGTGCATACACTAATCTAAATAGCAGACACGCACGTACACACACACACACACACACACACAAATAAAATCGCCTCACATATTCTAACATCAATATTGCAATGCCATTTGACATTTGTTATGGCGATGGGCGCAAAACGATGCCGAATGCAAAGCAAAAGAACGGATGAACAGGGGGCATCAGGGTTGGCGAGAATGAGAGCTGGTGGGAAGGGGGGGCAGGGGCATAGAAGGGGGGACAACATAGACCCCAATGTAACCGGTCAAACGGAGTGATTTTTATTGGCTTGCTGCTTTTTCGATTCACTGATAAATTGTTAATGTCACGCCACACACACACACACAAGCACACACACACACACACACACGCTCGTAAAATGCAATGTTACAAATTTATTATTTATGTGGCGCTAAGCTTTGTGCGCATAGATGGTGTACGGCAAAAGGGGAGGGGGGCTGGTCGGACAACCAACTTGACACAGAGCAAATGGTCGCTGCAGATGCCAACGAGCGAGAGAGACCAATGATAATATTTTTTGGGGCTACGAATTTTGCGCCGCATAAAATAGCATTTGATGTGTGCATAGAAAATTGCCAGCCAACAACAACAACAACAACAACAGCAACAAAAGCAACAACAACAACATCAACAATTACAGCAAGAGCGGGCAGGGTGGGGTCTGGTGGGGATTGGCGGCCAGTGCGGCAACTTCAATAAATCAAACAGTGGTAATGCAACTGCACTCAGAAAAAAGGGGGAACACAACATAAATCAAAAATAAAAAAATAATAAAAACAAATAAATATACTCGAGCTCGTTTATTTAACAGATAAAAATAATATATAAAGCTTTTAAAGCAAGCAAAAAAAAATTATATGCATATCTTGAAATAATTGTGTTTAGTGAAAAATAAAAACTTAGTGCTTGATTTAAGTTCAAGGTTCTGTTCTTTATTCTAGGGTTAAAATATTTTCCTGTTGTCTCAAAATCTCATTTATACAACGAATATAAAAAATATCAAATTATATCGATTGAATTACATATTTAAAATAATATTTATATTCAAATTTAAATTAGTAATATTTACAAATTTTGATTAAATTAAGTTTTCTTAAAAACAGTTAAGCAATTTTAATGGAAATATAAAAACAACTTGAATAATTTAGTAAAATTTTGAAAAAATAATTATTCGGTATTCTGTGGAAATTTTGATTTATATTGTAAAATATTTAGAATTTCTTATAATAGTTGAAAACGTTGTCTTTTGCAGTGTATTTGCTGGCAACATGTTTACTGTTAGGCGGCTGGCAATTAATGCAGCTGCCAAAACAAGCAAACGACCCTAGTGCAATTCGCACTTTAATTAATTAGACATTCATTTTCAGCAGTAACAACAACTGCAGCAGTGAGAGCAGCAGCAGCAACTGGCACAGCAGCCCCTGAGGCAGCCAACCCCCCCGAACTGGCCAACAATTTAGCTATCCACCTGTCTGTCTGTCTGCCTGTCTGTATGTGTGTGTGTGTTGTTCATTTGTCCGCCTGTCTGTCTGTTTGTCGCTTTGTAATGTGCACCGGAGTTTGTCCCCTTTGGAATAAGGCAACGGCGTCGACGTCGACGTCGGCATTGGTGGCGGCCATTATGCTTCGCAGGCGTAATAAATTAGCACAAACATGCCACTAAAATGGCACGCCCACCGACGGCCCAACGGCGCTGACCTGCACTGTAAAATGCTGTCAATGCAGTTCACATGCCAATGCAATTCCATTTTCGATGCAACAACAACAACACCTCCGGGATTTCAACTGGGATTTGCGCACAATGTGTTTAGTGGCAAACAACTCCGCATAGACGAGCCTCAACGATGATGAGAACAAGCTGAAGCCCCAGCCCAATGCCCACTCACTCGCCAATCGCACTTCTAAACTCAGCCTCCAGCCAAGCCAAGCAAATGAAATGTGTGCTATACAAAGCCAACTTACTTGACTGCAGCAGACTCTTGGACTTGATCAGTGTTGACAAACGGCATGGCAATAAAACAGTATTAAAAAGTGTTGTAATACGCAAAGTAAATTTGATGAGTGTTTCTCTGAGGAATCTAGTTTGCAAATATTTGTATAGCATACTTTTTGGAGCAGAATAGCGTAAGGATCTTGAGATTAAGCTGAGCAAAAACCTAATTGGGTTCGTTTTCAATTGGAAAGGAATGTTAAGTTAAGGAATTTAGGGATACTTTCTTCAGAAATTTAAACATATGTGTACCTTATTTCATACCTTTACTAAATATGGCTTTAATTAAGCTGGTTGAGCATTTACTTTGCAACCTGATGATGTTACCCTTAAGAGCTTGGAAATATTTACTAAAGATCATTTAAATTTAACAAACAAAAAACTGGTTCAGCTCATGAATAAGTTCATAGTTCCAAATAAAAATATGTTGAACTTCGGACTCGAACCGCTTCGTTCTTAAGTATATACTATATAATAAAAATATTTTTGAGAAATTAAAGGAAATTAAAAGATTGTCTGGCGCGAATCAATAGAGTTTTTAAGAAGAGAAGTTCCGGTTCCAGCTCTATTAAAAAAACCTTGTGACAAGTCAAACAATATGGCAACACAGGCCCGGGGCATTAATTGTTGTCTGAACTTAAAACTGAAAGGCAAGGCGAAGGGGGTGGCAGCAAACAATGTTGCACTCTCAAAAGAGAGGGAGAGCGAGGAGATAGAGGGAGAAAGAGAAAGAGAGAGTCGAGAGCGACTCACAACTTTATCATCGACTTCGATTGGTGGCATGGAAGATGGGCAGATGTGGCATGTGGCATGTGGCATGTTCGGCTCATGCCAGCAGATAGCTACGCCTGCATTCCCTCTTTCTCTCTCTCTGTGCATTTTCCTTTTTATTTTCCTTTTTTTCCCTCTTTGTTGCTTGCGCACTTTTCATCTTGGCGCTGCATACGAAATTTATGGGTTTTATTATGTGATTTATGCAATGCGCGCTGTCCGCGACGGGGCACGCAATGCGCGACGCAGCGCGGCGTGCGGATTTTTACGCCGGAAATGTGCCCATCGACTGCGTGTTAAGTCTCGCACACACACACGCACCGACACACACGCACACTGGCGGGGTCGCGGGTGCATAAGTGTTTTTTATTATTGCCCGCCAGTTTTTATTGCGACTGCTGCGCTCGTGTTTTACTTATTTAATTTCTCAGCTGCTATCGGCCGGGCCCGGCATTGTCCTTGTCATTGGACGGGACGCAGCGCACGTGAGCGCCGGACACATTGATATTGAGCTTGGCGGGCGGCGACGTTAATGTGTGGCGCCCCCTCTCCTTTCTCTCCCTCCTCGCCTGGCATAATGCGCGCGGGGGCAGCTACGCATTCCAGATCCCCAATAACGGTATCTAACCGAAAACGTGCTATAAATTCCAATCAGAGTCGCCACAGTGTCGCGCATTGCGGCCCATTGTCAATCAACACGCACACACGCACACTCGCACACACACAGAAGCACATGCACACGCACATGCACATGTACACGCACCGCGTGCCGCGTGACGTCCCTGCGCGTATTTACATTTCCGGGCGAGTCATGCGAGCTGTTGGCATAGGGCACAGGTGCATACGTGTTACCCACAGAGCTGGCACCAGACGCGTGTCGTGACACGAGCACGCACGGCACTTGTCCTGACTCGTGTCGGCATTAAGCTCATCAGATCGAGAGATTGCCTGAAAGGAATCAACCAGAGCAAGCCAAAGTTAACCAAGAAATATAGTAATATCCAAATCCACGAATAAGTCGACCTGTCTATCCCTCTTTTTTGTTAACCTTTCTGAAATCGATAAATATCGATAGCATATACACACTTTAATTGATAAATCGTGAAAAAGACCTCCGATTCCTCCATAAGGTATTTATATTCTGTAGTAGTACGTTAATATCAAAATTCATGTCTGTCATTATACCCTGAACCCATTAAAAATGGGCATAAGGGTATATTGTATTTGTGCAAAATCCAAATGTATGTAACAGGCAGAAGGAAGCTTCTCCGACCCCATAAAGTATATATATTCTTGATCAGCATCAATAGCCGAGTCGATCTAGCCATGTCCGTCTGTCTGTACGTCCGTCCGTCCGTCCGTCCGTCCGTCCGTCCGTATGTATGAACGCAAGGATCTCAGAACCTATAAAAGCTAGAGACTTGAAATTTTAGATGTAGATGCTC